GAAATGATGGCGAGTTTATAGATGTGGTATTTACTCAATAATTTATGTGAATTGATCACGTGATAGCTGTTCACAAAATAATCTTACGACATAGATTTCCGGATGTACTAATGACAGTAGGCCACTTGAACAACCAGGACGCGGTTTATCTACCAATCGCATATAGGAGCAGCATTCAGTTTGACAGAGTTGTAATTCATAGTTAGGTTTCTTATACGGTCCAGAAGTGCAACTAAGACTATACTAGATCTTATGCAACGATGAGTATTGCATGAGAATAAGGAGGTAGACTAAAATTTGAATTGACGCTTTTATATCTCAATAAATGTAAATGAACTATTCTAACATCTTAATGTATATCATATTATTAACAGGGTCTTGGTAAAGATATAACAGCTAGCAAGAAGGAGGTTCAACTACACTCAGCATCTCACGCTCTGATTACTATACAGAAGTCACCATATTATTTTTAACAACTGGTTTTTGGTCAAAATTGACAGCTCACAACAGCTGAATTAATATTTCAAATATTGATGTCTACGTTTATATTAGCGATAAAGACCTCATACTAACCTTCAGAATATGATCAAATAACCTGTTTATTATCTTTATATAGCAGTAGGTTTAACTGAAATTGTGTAATTACTGAGTTTATATTAGCCAATTTGAATAAAAGATACTTCAGTGTTCCTAACTCAGTGTCGATATGTTGTGCCCATATTAGATTATGTTCAGTCTTCTGTAGATCCTACTACGGAGTTGTTGTGAAGTACGATATAAAGATAATAATTTATTTACTGATATTGAATTTTTCGCTTCTTTTTGTGATAATAACATAGTATACGCTTTTTTTCTGTGTTTACATTGATTCTTTACAACATTTTGGGATAGCTAAAACAATTCTGTTTTGGAAATATTTCTCTAGCTTTTGCAAATCAGTCCTATTTTAGAAGGACGTTTGCTAAATACACTTGAAATAAGATTTGGTTTTCCCGTTTTTAACCTTTTTCACAAAATAATGTTGCAGGTAATGTGTTGTCTTTTTTCAAGTTTTCCACCACGTTTTATTGAGATGAATCTTTCAGTTTTTAATTTTCAGGACTATTTCTCTAGTAATGAAGTACATCAGATCTTCAAATAATCGTTTCCTTAGTAAGTTCTCTTTCTCTTAAATCTTACATTTCTCTATGTATGTAATCTTTAAATATTAAATAGTTAGTGATTAACTGTTTCAAATTATTGTTGATTTAGAAGATAATGTAAGACATAATTATCATTCGTGTTGCATTTACTCCTAATACAATACTAATCTCAGCGACGATCTGAATACTCTGAAAGTTACATTCTGTTAGTTTTGTAGACCAATCAAAATAATCGCGTATTATAAATTTAGAATTGTAATTTTCGTTCTTTGAATTTAATGAGACTGGAAAAAAGGGATGGAGGTCTAAAGTGTCTACTTTAAGTAGTAGAACTATTACCACAAATTCACCATCGAATTCTTTGGTTCTTAATCCCTTTGTTCCATGTTAAGTTTCTTTTACAGATCATTATATTTGCTCGTTTGCAAACTGTTTGATTAAAATAAACATAATATTTAAAATGTTTACATTGGCAAGAATAGCATTTACCACGAAATCATTAGAAGTGTATTACGACCAACAAATGTGGATTACCTGAGGAAAAAACCGTAAAGGATATTTGAAAGAACTAAAGATTAGTGAATAGATTACTGTTTAATTCGCTTTTCAGGTTTTTGGCGATCCAAACTGTTTTTTAACGGACAGAAACACAAATCGAATTCAACTTCCACTTCAATTTATTTTAGTCATATCTTTAATCGTAACATAATCGGAAAACTTGAGCAAAAGTTAGGTTAATATATTTAAATAAACTTTTTCCAAACATATTAAAAAAATTCGTAAAAATACGTCACCTAAAACATTTCTCATCCCATCATTTTCCAGTTTCATAGGCTTATTTTTCATAAGCATCCAAACTTATTCGTTTTTGGTTTAGTGATAGTTTCTCTCTTATTTAGTTCATTGTCAAGCCCAGAAAATTATTTTTTAAAGGTTCTTTTGGAACTAGCATATCTCTAATTTTCTGATCTGCTAAGATTCAGTTCATTCGGTCATTTTAAAATGTGATATATATATATATATATATATATATATATATATATATATATATATATATATATAATATTAAATCTTACATTGTCCATTATTTGTGCAAAAGCTCCACCGAATAGCCTTCGTAAAACTATTTAAGTTTACTTCTGAGCGTGAAGATATCCTGTTTGATGTTTTGTTTATTAATGAGGTAAATCCTTCAGACTTTTACTTTGGAACTAAATCTTTAATGTTAGTGATAATTTCATTGATATTTCAGTATTATTAAATAATTAGGTGAGATTCATAATCGCCTTCAAGAAACAATAAGTATACGTCCAGATGAAATTTTGTTTGGTAATTTCATACTCAAACTTTGTGCTATCATATTTATATTCAGAAATTGATCAGAATAACAAGTTGTGCACTTTGGCATGAATGCGTATAGTAAGTCATCAAACAGACCTAAAAGCATGGAAAATATAAAATCCCAAAAGTAAAGAGCGACGCTGGTTCAATTCCAGTAGGGAGCATAAATTCCTTTGAGATTACGCCTTGCTGACGAATGTCAAGTAGCACGAAGCCTATTTTCAGGATTTCATATTAACCGACTCCAACCACCAAACTTTTTAATTCAGTTTAGAATTTTTTAACCGACATTAAGATTTCCCTATAACCTCTAGCGTGTAGTCACAAGTGACTAGTGGAAATTCTCAGTATGATTAAAAAAAATCCTAAACTGAATTAAATCACTCTTACTTTTCTAAAACAAGTAATTACGAGAAGAATTCACTGTTCTTTTCAGCATGAAGTTAATTAAGTCTCTTACTTTGAGAAACATTCTAGTTAGTGTTACTGCATTCCGTTGACCTTGTTTCGATTTCTTGATATTAGTCTGTTAGTTTTTGTGTAGTAGTAAGTGCGATTCTCTTACACCATATATTTCACACATTTTGCTTAAGGACCACCTTCCAAAGTGTAGTTATAGGGGAAATAAGGGAGTCTGATTAAACGACCTGTCACCAGTTCCTGTCAAGGATAGAGATAACGTACGAATAAGAAAATAAACTAGTTGTCTAAAGGGTTTAATAAATGGAGTCTCCTGTCACTTCTCTCATTTTAATTTCGTCTCAATGGCCCATATTTACGCTAATATAATGAATCTCCTTTCACTTGTTCCTAACGTTGTTATTTCATTCTATGTAACTCATCAAAGTATTTCTCACTGCAAAATGCTTTTGTTTTTAAATAAACAATAAAAAACACGAAGTAAATTCCGGCATGTCTTCATAAAACGAATATCTGAGACCTTCGTAGTGAGTCACATAATAGTCACTAGTTCTACCCAGCTAACTTGACATATGAATTCGTGAAACAACGTTCTATTATTATCGACATGGGCTTGTAATGAGCTGTATAAACTCCTTATAACGCTTACATGAAAATCTTCCAACTTTCTTGTAGACAAATTCTTTTCTGGTCAAGCATCTTGTAACTAACTCTACGTATACTTTTATTATTTGACGTTGCCAATTGTTCACTTGTAATCCTTAGTGTGTTTATATCTATCCTTTTTACTTACTTATTTTATACGTTTTATTTTCACATATATATGTCATCCATACTTTTGAGTAGTCTGCTTAAAGGCCTCTTCTTACTTTCCATGTGGCTGCGTTAAGTAATACATGGAATAATTCCTTCCAGAATATTTTGTATTTGGATTTCTTTTACCACAATAGCTCAAGGATATTAGCTTAAGTATTATGGGAAAAATTAATTGAGGAGTTAGAGTTCATTACGGTTCGTTATCATAGAGTCAATGCGATGCCTTAAGTCATAGATTGTCACTCTATGTTTTAAGTAAATTCATTGTGTTAAAAGCAAATTCTGTCACGTAAAGGCAATGGGTTAATCATCGTTATTCGCCATATTAATGTACCTTTTACCCACTATGAACTACGTAAACGTTTTTCTTAATTTTCGACTTAATATATAGGACTTATGTTGTGTAAGTAATTTTATTGTTTTCACTCAGGTAGTCAGCATCTAATTTAGATCCCTCTACTAATGACTGTTAATTTTTCAACTAGGTCCACGTAAACTGGTACCCGACTGTATATAGTTCAAATAGTTATTACAATGTCCATATAATTTCTGATTAAATATTTTGTGTTACTATTCGAATCTTTATTACCAACGATTTATATTCAACCAAATCATATTTAAATCGACACTTAAAATGAGTATGAAAGTTATTAAAACATCGTGTGAAAGAACTGGATTTTGTTAATTTACTGTTGGTCCATCATATATTAAGTAGAGCAACACTACAGGGCTGCTAATTGAATGTTCATGCATGAATGAGTTAATCATATTATTTATTTGTCCATAAAATGATAGAACGCAGATACCGCATTGTTTTTGTGTTTACTTTTAAACTGTATCATATGAAACAAAGAGGCCTTTGAGGAAATTTGAAAAGTTTTATTTCTGAGACAGTGAAGTACATTTTTGGTTGTATTGAAACAATTTATGCACATGCAAATTAAATTTATTTCTGTAAAAGATGATTACTCCAAAATTTTCTATTCAGTGTTAATAATCATTTCTAAGGAAAGTGTTATCCTCTGGAGTTCCATTAGTTTGGCTACTGTCTAGTTATTATTTATTTATTTTTTACATTAGTTGATCAACTGTTTAACCACGTTCTAATTTGATTGCTTTCGTTTTTCCTAGATTATGTGTGCATATCACCACTGCTTACAACATACTGAAAACCAGTCTCTCTTTACTTACGGGAAGGTGTTGATTGTAAGAGTTTTTAAAATTCAAGAACCACTGGTATGTCCTGGTTGCCAACAATATTTTCATACATTAGATAAAATTATGAATCATTGGATTACTTCGTCTCGTTGTAATTCACCGTTTATGCCAATTTCAAACAATAAGGATTGTGTAGATGCTCTTTGTGTTCTCTCTGTATCATGTAGCATCTGTCAACGTAGTTTTACAGCAGTTCCATCGTTGGAAATAGAAGCTGATCATCCTGGTCAGAAGAGAAAACATCCGTCAAACAGAGAAAATACCTACAGGTCACCAACTTCTTGGGCAAAAGATTTTGGTCATTTTTGTATTCGTCATGCCTTTGAACATATAAATCAGGGTAGATTTCCTTTGTGTAGCTTGAAAATACGGATTATAAGTGTACCGAAATCTGTTAACTGTCTTCCTCCCATCACTAGTACAAATAATTCAAGCAGATTGCATTTTAACCTCAGCGAATGTAAACGTCTTATTTCATATCTTGAAAATCATGAATGGAATTCCTATTTACTTAAACAGGCTCAGAAAAGCTTTAGAGATTTATTTTTCGACGCTGTTTCCTATGTCTCATAAATAAGTTTTTTTCATATCTCCTCCAAGTAACTTCTTATTTCAAAATAAGCATTTATATTGTTCTTATCCGTATCTTGTGTAATGATAATAATCTGTAGTTAATTTAATTTTTCCTCTCTAAGTTTGTCTTTATGGATTGAAACTGTACCGGATACGAGCAGATTTATGTACCAATATATGTTGTGTTTATCTACTTTGAAGGAAACATTTATTGTGGTCGTTTGTTTCTGATGACTCTATCACTAATCTTCGTGTTATCTTGTAGCCTCCAACCCTGTTTCACACATTTTATGACTATTTTCTAAGAGACAATGTTGTAGACTTCTTATTCACAAGCTCTAAATTGCCGCTGTGGCTCTTTTATCTAATGGTTTGTTTCTTGACTTTTCGTGCCAAATCCACTAATTAATTTAATTATAGTATAAAACGCTGTGTATTACCATATCATCTTACAGTGGTAAAATAATTGAATCTCACGAAATTATCCTATAACTAAGGATGCATAGAAGGCTTTATCCATTTGACTAAATAATTAGGTTTTAAAAACTACGTTCGGAGATTTGATTTTCGTCTTTGTGATATTTGGATATCTAACTTTCTTGCATTTGAATATCATAGTTGCGATAATATAAGTAGCTAGTGTAACACAACCCTACTCTCAGTTCACATCCTAGTTTTTTTCGTTCGGAACTATATCCCTAACACTTGAGTTTTACATTGAGTCTGCTAAACAATAGTAGGACATCAAACATCTAATCTACTTTTTATTGATCCAAGTACTTGAAATTGCAGAGCGGTGATAAGACGACTGTCAAAACTCGTTAGATTTGTTAAGTACTCAGTTAAATCGTCAGTGTCTACTGAAACATATGGTTTAGATAATTTCATTGGAATCATAAACCGATTAATGTTATGTCATTATTGAAAACCTGGGAGCACTAAACGACCGTTTCACCCTAGTATGGGGCTCCTCAACAGCGCTCATTTGCGATCCCATACTCTGCATTCGAACCTAAGCCCTTCGGCCTCGCGAACGCTTGACGTTTACATCACGGAGTCGGCATCTAACGGCGTTACTGTCTATCTTAAACCAATCGAAGATGTTGCACGATCATCTGCCATTGTTGATTTCAATGAAATCCAATAATCTCCACAACTCCAAAGTGAAGATTTCGTTAATATTTGATAACTTTATAATGTAGTGATTTTCCACAAATTTCAAGGCGCTCTCGATTATATGTATGTATAGCTGTCGTGTTGACCATTTAAATTACTGAACTCATCGGTTATGAGAAAGAGGTACTATCCAACATTTGTTTTTGTAAAGGGAAATTTTTTGTACAAGACGACAATGTTTCTGATATTTTTGGGACGGGTTGACGCTGTTGTATACAACTTTAGTGTGGTGTTTGGATGAACTAATGGTACCTTTGTACTTGTTGAATGCTCAATTTCGAATTCCAAATACAATACATTCGTTTGTGCTTGTGTCGTAGTTCTTGATTCAGTTGCGTTAATTCTGGGATTCCTAGTTCATACTATATTACATTTAGTTATTTATTTTTATTGCTCTTTTGTAATATCCTAAATTTCTGGCATTTTTCTATTATTTGTTACTTTTTCCTACGGTATACAACTGGTCATCGATTTAATTATTTCCAAATATTGCAAGGATGAAGATTTAAGCAGAATAATATGAATTCGTTTGGTTCTTGTCAGCTGCTCACAACACACAGCATCTTAAATTCGACATCATGAAAGTTAGCATATCTAGACTTAAATATGTATAACCGTGATGGAGTTAGGTGGTGTAGCGGTGTTTAGGTCTTCAACTTTCATTTGTTAAACCAAGATAAGTTATACTACCTGGCTTCTAATACAAAATTATTGCAGTCGAGCTCATAACTCGGACTTAATACAGGAAGTCATTTCCTAAAACACCAGCAAGGATCCAACTACTTAAAAGGTTTTCGAGCTGCTGTTGAGTGCCTCTCTACCACAGATATATATATATCAAGAGATACTCTCCGTCATTAGTTTTTTTCTGTAACTCCCATTATCACAGGCTCATTCACTCAATCTTTCTTTAAATTCTGAACGTAGTGATTGATGCTTAACACTAGGTTCAAATAAAAATTACAGCCAGAGTGAAATTCGCAGCACAATGTGGTTTTTCAAATAAAAAAATACATAATATGACAAATTAAATGAATACATGAACGTAAATATGACCGTTATTCAGCTTGTGGATACATAGGTTTACCTGACAAGTTTGAATGTAAATTCACTCCTGCAGAATTCTTGTGTTTCAAAATTTCGGATACAGTCACACCGATAAAACATTACTGAAAACCACTTAGATATCGCACTCAGTCAAGGTTGACAAATAAACATTTGTTCTTCCCTGTGAATCCTTTCGCTCACTACCACCTGTAAATACAGTCGAGTCTTTATCAAGTTGTTCTTGTAACGCTTTCAATAAAAAAACTTTAGAAGGAGGGACCTATCTTTTTACTATATTCATGTTGTACACAATCAGAATAAAGCAAGTTGGAACTGACTATATCAACTGCAGACTATCAGGAACAAAGTAAAAACGTAGACTCGACTGTGACTATCAACATGGGAAACACCGTGGGTTGGTTACTTGTCCATTCACATAAGATTTATTCAAACAAATAGGACAAGAAAGTTCACAAGTTTCGAACCGAAAGTACAAACAAGCTACACAGAACACTGATAGCTCATAGAGTAAAATGAATAGGGTGAGTGAACCAAGTAATGCTAATAATATTCATCTAAAAGGAATATCTAAAACATGGGTATTCTCTGCAATTAGAGATCAAGAGGAGGGATTTTGTTTGCTCCACAATGACAAAACACAGGGATGGAGCAGCTTGTACCCACGATTATATTTGTCTCATCAGCAAACGCAGACATCTAAGTATCAAGTCACAATTAGTGGATTGGCTTACTTTATATCTAGATACTAGATAAATTTCGTTCGTTCCAGGGGTACCGATTGTTATTGTGGGGTATCTTATGGTTCAGTATTGGGACCTCTTCTTCTCTTAGTTCATATAAATGACTATCTTTGGAAAGTGTCATCTGGTTTGTTGCTTTTCGCCAACGATTTGAAACTTGGGAGAGATGTTGGCAACCGAGTTGAAAAATTGGCATTTTAGGAGGATCGTGCTCGGATTCAAAGTTGAGCCAATAATAATGAACTTGCTTTTAACATTTCGGATTGCAATGTGGTCCAACTGAGATACGTTGCGGACTATGTTCATGTTTAGAGGTATCTCAAATTGTAAGGGATCGAGGAATTTAGGCACTGTGTGATCTGAAATCTAATGCTAATTGAGGCAAAAATACCTTTCGAACAAACTTTGTATTGGTGAACATGAGGCTCATTTTTGCCCAGTTCAACGCTAGGACTTTCGATGTAATCTTTAATAACCTAGTTTGACCCCTTTTAGAGTATAGAAATATAGTGTTTCCTCCCTCACTCGAAGAGAGAAATAAATCACTGAAGCATACTTTAATATGAGCCATAAAATCAGTTTGTGGACTCATTTAAGACATTTGAAGCGAGCCTCGTATCACTGTATCTCTACCTATAAGAGCATAGATTACCTTGTATTCTAAATGCAATTCACAGCGGAACCACTCAGACTATGAGCACATTCTTTACTCGTTACAATTATTCGAATTCTGGAATTCGATGACGTTTGATGTGGTTTGTTGGACATTTTGGGAGTCGTTTGCTAGGAAATGAGACATAGTTTTATGGAAAGAGGAAGATTCGTCACAGCGATTTGCTAATATTTTTCGAAATAAAGTTAAGTATATCTAGATTACCACCTGGAGGTATCGGCTATTCACTGCTACTAGATACGGAGGGATGTTCATCAAAAGCTTCTTCTGTTCCGTCTAGAATTGTTCGAACGTTTCGGACTGATTTAAAAGTTATTGAAGGACGTGTAGTTTTAACGGTCCTAACCACACAATTTTCAAGGCTGAACATGAAATAACTGGGAAAATAGAATTTTAAAATGTAACACTGACAGAAAAAAAGAGTACTGAACGCGGGAGCATTAGTAAAATCTCATGGCATGGCTCAGCTTTGTAGAAGTAGTCATTCTTGTGTCGCCTATCCATTTTAATCTTATTAAATATATTGTTCTATCTACGGCCTAAAAGTGTTATGCAGAAACACTAAACGTACCATGCGACGAGTCAGTGTAGACAACGATGGAACTTCTGCATATGATCTTTGGATTAGGTTTTAACATCATGACATACCTACAATACTAGGATTAGGTCCCTTACTATAATACTATTATTAACGGAGTAGGCCACAATTGTACTACATCTATATAGTCTCTTGCTACCTCTCAAACCATAATGAAAACTATTGCTCCTCAGGTTATTTAAAAACCAAGATAAAGTTCAAATCAAGTTATTCATGGCGTATCAACAATAGTGTCACGACTAATAACCAACCATATATGTAGCAGCAGATAAATCTGGAAAACAAATAGTTCATTATGTCTTCGAAATTGATGCTGACGTCATTAGTTTTGGTGGAAACATCTTATCTGAAGGCGCACAGCCACGCATCCATTCCAGGTAACGAGTGGATATTTCGTGTCTAGCCCTACTCGCAACTCGCAGCAATCTTAAATTAAACGCTTCTAAACATGTCGATGGCTTTTCAAATAAAACTTCGAACCCCTTCATTTCTGACTTTACATCTGACTGCGTTGGTACACAATGATTACACTAATACAACTAAGGTTGTGAGGATATATAAAAACTCTACTATCCCGTGATGCATGATCCTGAACGCTTTATTGGAATTTCAACAGATGCCTTGTCAAGGAAATTTGTAGAGAACTAAGTTGATTTTCTTTAATTGACATTATCAAATTACGAATAATTGGACATCCGATTTTGTTTTAGTTCTTAGATCATAAAATTTATCAAAACTCAAAAGTGTAATTTATTTACGCACACTTCAGCTATGTATTGCTTAATTCTATGCAAAGAGACTTTCGGATCGGGGAACTTGAGTACTGCTTTATACATAAGGTAATTAAGATCTTATTTTCTGCTTACTATATATATGTTTTAGGGAGATCTTCGAACTATATTTAGAAGCTGAATTCATAAAAATTGTTAACATCAACTGTGAAAGTTCTTTGAAAGACATAGACAACTTTAATCGATCAACTGCAAACCCTAAATTAGTGATTGCCCTTCATTTACGTCAATGCTCACATCTTGTCAGTCGTAAGTTTCTCTTGTTTTTTCAATTATGATCATAATTCGCATTAGTATGTAGGCTTAAAATCTAGTAATATACAAAGTGTGACGCAATATATAATGTGAAAAAGTATTTTTGCATTGTGTAAAGACTCGTGAACCATGAAAGGCCTTTGCAATCGGTTCACCGTCTACACTGTTACAATCTGTCACTTGTCTTCCTAGTACCGTTTAGTATTTAGAATGTTTCTGTATACTTTATAAATGAATGACACACTTTGGTCTATGATTCTTCTGAATAGGTGCTTGACATTATAAAAAGCTGAAAGCTATTTAGTTTACTTGTGTATTCCATCTATTTAGAGTATTTTCATTCATTTGATAAAAAAGTCTCTAAATATGTGGAATGTTTTCGCTAGTCTTACCAATAGAAATCTTTTGAACAAGAAGACGTTTGTAAGCTGGATATACAGAAACTCTTACTGTCTACCAGTCATGAATAAATGATCTATCTTAAAAGATCCTTCAAGCAATTATCAGTCTGATGTGAAATAATTGGTTCCGAACTTTCATAGTCTCTTTATATGAATCTATATGTTTCTCATTTTAAGACGGAGATAAGCAAAAGTCACCTTGGATTCAAAATCATTATTTGGCATTTTGAAGCTGTTACTTAGATCACTTGGCAACATTCGTATCAAAATTGAAAAGACTCTTTTGTCTTGGTTTACTTGTTTAATACTTTATGTATTTACGAATCCAACTTTGCTACCACTGCTTAAATCCTCTTCTGTAGTTGGAGTCTTTGTAACGGCCATCATTTAGTCAAATGAAATAGTACGACATATTCAGGATGGTTTAATCAGCCGTTCAATATTCAGATAGCCATTCTATCATTTATATTTCCTTAAACACTTTTTAGCCGTTTTAGAACATCATATAGGCGCTATTTATGCCTTAAATGCAACTTGAATATAATGTCCTTCAAATCGTAATCATGAGTTATCCTAACTTACGATGACTTTGTGAGAGACTTCACTAAGTTCCAAAATTTTTCTGACCAAACACAGAGATCTTGTTAGCATCCTTATTTCTGTATGAAGACGATCAACGAACGAGATTCTATGTCCAAATTAATCAAATCACATACGCATTTATGTTGGATTCGTTTACACCACAGATCATTACCAGATATGACTTTAAGCTTATTCTGAGACAATGAAATTTTTTATCAAGATTGTCCTATGAATGGTCATTTTGACTGGGGAAATAAAAAATCAATAAGCCGTCAAAAATGCTAGTTAATCGTGCGTCTTAATGGTTGTAGAAGGTATGAGAGCAATTTTTTGAGGGTATTTAAAGCCTATAGATTATTGCTATATTTACGTTTTTTGAGGCGGAGTAGTTGTCGAAGACTTTATTGAGTATAAAATTAATAGTCAAATTTATATTCAAACAATCCAAAAATGGTTTCCCAACCTACCTTGAGAAGCAGTCTAGAACCTGAGTACTTCCATAAATTAGACTAAAATGTCAACGCCGTCTTATATTAATTAAAAAATGGAACGACTAATATTTGATTGAGTGTTATACATTGCTTTTTCAACAAGCTATAATAATATTGTCCAATCGAACTTGTCTATCAAACTCAGAAGTTTTAAATTTTCTCAATATTGCATTGTTTGCGTTTAATATTAGACAGTAACTAAGTGATTATTGGTTCATTAAGTTTCTAACAGTTAGTAAACCAGAGCATTAAAATTTAGAAAAAGGTCGAAATTAGTAGTGTTGTTTAGTTTGCACTTGTAAACTCATCATGCATACTTCGGATGACGGGTAAAAGATTCGCCAATAAAAATCTCATTTTTACTGAAAATTTAGATTCTTTTATTTATTACTTTACATTTCTTTCATTTACTCTGGACCGTCCTATAAATGTTTTGATATCATATTCCATAAGGTTGTTAGGAAACTAATAAACATCTTAGACCGTGGAGATACGATATTTACTTATTGCTTTGATAATTTCTATGCTAAAGTTTGATGGTGCTTACAAGACATGTATTTTTCGTGTGAATTCAACCTACTCATAGATCAGTTGAAAAGTTATCCGCGAGACAACCTTGAAAAATTCCCATCAAGCATTTTCTGAATACAGAATGTTTTCATCGAAACACACTCAAGATCGCTTTGACTTACTTGGTCGTTAAGTAGTGCCGTTGCATTCTCGCATCTCATTTTTCAATCTCATGAAAATTTGATTAACCACGGAGTAGTGGTCAGTATCATGTTCTAGTTTTTTAGGGCTGAATAAATGTAATTGACGTTGTTGCAATGTGTTCACTAGCCTAAGTAACTTATCATGGAGTGGAATATATTTAAATGTTAATTGATTAGTGACCGTCGACAGAAAACAGTGTGCATAGGTTTTAGTCAGTCATGCTTCGAATAACTTAATGGTAACATTTCAGATTGTGAAGATGTTTGGGCAACTTTGAGTCTGCTATTGAGCATCAGCTCTCACAAAGTTAGAGATACTCGCTGCTGAAGACGAGTTCTAGTCGCATCGCGATTTCTATCGGTTTTAACCATAATGCATAAAATCATTTAAGCTTTAAATAACCACTAAACTTTTGTCAACCATGACGAACCTAAATTCTTTGCAAAAAATAAGTATGTTTAAAAGAATACTGCATTTGTAAAATCTGGATTTTATACAATAGGTTCAGTTATTAGTAGGTTCTGTAGAAACTTTTAATTAAAATCAATTCTTGAAGAAAAGCAAAAATATAGGTTGATTTTGATCTTTTCTAAACTATAATTCAGCGTTACATTTCAGGTAACATGTACAAAGTACCTATTTTGTAATCTGACTTTGAAAATGTAAAAACACCAGTAAATTATTTCGTGGTTTTGAGTGCCTCTGTAGCAAAGTTTATTATTTTGGAAAACTCATCATTGGTGTTTCTTGTTTTCAAGCTTACGCTAGTTGTTGGATATTATTTGTGAATGCTGGAAAATGGCAAATGTTTACCTTACTTGTGGTTAATTTTTGTATTGAAGATGCAAGAATAATCAAAATCATTATTTATATATATTTCGTAATTTACTTACCTTTTTCATTGTTTTGAAGTGCTAGACAAAAGTATACCTGTTCTTGCAATCTGCACTGGGTCTGACATAAATATGGATAGAACTCATGCGGTATATTTAAAGCTGATGACATATTTAGTTGACCGAAGTTTGTAAGTATAATTTCTCTGCATGCGTTATCCGTTTAACTGATTTTCCACCTTAGTGCAGTTGTTTTACTTAACCGACCAATGTTGAAGCAGTTTAAAGAAACTTGGGTAAGTAAATAAGTTGCTATTATTTGACAGTAACACAGTTTATTAAAAAACCGGTTCGTACAAGTTATAGAATAACATCATCTTGACATATTAAATAAAGTTTATGTATATATTCGTAAGGAAGAAACGTGTTTTATTTGCCCTTAAGTGCCTTGACAACATTTCCGATTTCAGTTGTTAGTTACTTTTGGAAAAAGGTAAATTATTAAGTTTGGTATATATGGTACTATTTAATAGAAACAATTTTGATGTATAATTGGTTATTTTGTCATCCATTGTTTACATATATTAGAAGAAAGATTGTTCCAAACATTAAACCATTTATAACACAAGACCCCACAAATAAATATAGCATTGGTTTGTTACGAAATACATTGGAGATATGATGCAAAGTGACTCCATATTGATAACTCAATTTATTTTTTCGAACAGCTGACCTGAAATTTCAAGGGTTTAATAATTTTTATTCATCAAAAGTCAATATTTTTGGGCGCCATAAAGCCACTTATAAAATCGCCGAGCAGATTTTTACTTGAAATGATTTTTAATAAGTTTTACTTCGAAAATACAATTTCTTGAACATATTTGATATTTAGTATACACCAACTGTTTAACAGGTTTGAATAATTTGATCAAAATACCGAAGAATGGCAATCTCGGCAACTGTGATAACTACAGGGGCATCACTCTTCTCTCAATACCGGGAGAAGTCTCCAACAGGGTATTGTTAAACAGGATGAAGGACTCCGTAGACGCCCAACTTCGTGGCCAACAGGCAGGATTTCGTAGAAGTAGATCGTGTACAGACCGAATCGCAACTCTACGGATCATTGTGGAACAATCAATTGAATGGAATTCATCACTCTACATCAACTTCGTTGACTACGAATAAGAGTTTGATAGCGTGGACAGAACAACACTATGGAAGCTTCTTCGATACTACGGCGTGTCTCAGAAGATAGTCAATATCATACAAAATTCCTATGATGGATTACACTGCAAAATCGTGCATGGAGGATAGTTGACAAAGTCGTTCGAGGTGAAAACCGGTGTCAGGCAATGTTGCTTACTCTCACCCTTTCTCTTCCTCCTGGTGATCGACTGGATCATGAAGACGTCAACGTCTGAAGGGAAGCACGGGATACAATGGACATCTAGGATGCAGCTGGACGATCTAGACTTTGCAGATGATCTGGCCCTTCTATCCCAAACGCAACAACAAATGCGGAAGACGAACAGTGTAGCAGCAGCCTCAGCAGCAGTAGGTCTCAATATACACAAAGGGAAAAGCAAGATTCTCCGATACAACACAGCATGCACCAATCCAATCACAATTGACGGAGAAGATTTGGAAGATGTAAAAACCTTTACGTATTTAAGCAGCATCATTGATGAACAAGGTGGATCTGATGCAGACGTGAAGGCGCGGATCGGCAAAGCAAGAGCAGCATATTTACAACTGAGGAACATCTGGAACTCAAAGCAACTGTCAACCAACACCAAGGTCAGGATTTTCAATACAAATGTCAAAACGGTTCTACTGTATGGAGAGGAAACCTGGAGAACTACGAAAGTCATCATCCAGAAGATACAGGTATTTATTAACAGTTGTCTACGCAAAATACTTCGGATCCTTTGGCCGGACACAATTAGCAACAACGTACTGTGGGAGAGAACAAACCCAGATCCCAGTGGAGGAAGAAATCAGGAAGAAGCGCTGGAAGTGGATAGGACACACATTGAGGAAAGCACCCAACTGTGTCACAAGACAAGCCCTCACATGGAATCTTGAAGGCCAAAGGAAAAGAGGAAAACCAAAGAACACATTACGCCGGGAAATGGAAATAGACATGAGAAAAATGAACAAGAATTAGATGGAACTAGAAAAGAAGGCCCAGGACAGAGTGAGTTGGAGAATGCTGGCCGGCGGCCTATGCTCCATTGGGAGTAACAACCGTAAATAAGTAAGTAAGAAACTGTTTCACAGCGCAGAACCTCCATCTTAGGGAGGCAATATTTAGCAATAAAACTGAATTCCCAATCTCAATGTATCTTACCTCAGTCCTGTTTATTTTAACCAAGGACGTCTCAGGACACTTGATTTTTACGACGAGCTTCAGTAAAGTGATAACCATTCAAATCCTTCGTAGACTAAAGTTCTCAGCTGGCTTCTCTCTTGATTTCCTTCAGTGTGGGGTTGAAGAATTTGCATACATATTTACTTGGTAGTAACTGTGTGCTGGATTAACTCGCTAATATGTACATCAATTGTGAATAACTTATCCATGATACCTGATGATTCTGTTCCAATCAACAATTTTAGTCCCAAAAATTCAACTTGCTTGGGTTGTAAATGCAAATCTGAGAGTTATGTTAATACATTATCGTAGCTATGACAAATGAGTCATCCCCTAAGAGCCATTAGTAATTAATACGTTATTACGGTGTTGTATACCAAACAAAGAATCTATCACTAAACTCAATTTGATCACAACGACCAATATTTCGTATTAAGAATGACATATGTCATTGGGGCAAGTTAAATATACTAAGTTTATCAATTTTACAGTTCACGAAGTGCCATATTTAATGTCACAACGCATCAACTTGATTCTGTTTAGCGACTTCTCGTTTTTATTGACATTCTGTTTCGTAACTATCTATCTTCCTTTGCCGTTATACCTGCGATGATTCGTTTGGCTCACGCTTACCTTGGACAATATTGCGTACTTCTACAAAACATCTTATTTTACACTACTTATGTTCATGTTATTGAGATCAATTTAACTGATAATCTAGCATTATAATAGTTATTTTCTATGTAATTTCTCAATACTTCTATATCTTAAAAGCTATAAGTGAGAAAAATCAACAACCCGATCATTTCACTTTGTATCAGTTAGTACAGTTTATGTTCACTTTTAGCACTGAATACCACTTTCTTCACGAAAAAATATAATGTTACTCATATGATAAGCAGTTTGATTATACAATATACTTCAAGCACGTCATCCTTAGTTAGTTTAGACTAATTATTAACTCGTCAGAGTTAATATAATCTTCTGAAATAATATAAAACTGAAGGAAATAACTGATATAGCTTAATTTAAATTTATCAGTATTGTAACTTACATTCTACTCGTGTTCAAAGCTTAACCAAGAATTATATGTAAATGTAACTAAACTTCTCAACGAAATTCGATGAATCATTCAGTATCCAGAAGCTAAATATTTTTAAGTTACTATTTTTATCTTTTCAAAATCCTGGAAACATTGCATAAATATAATACAGCGTTATTCTATCCTCACCGTGATCATTTTTTTTGTTTGCTCTAATATTGCCGAAATTTTTGAATGTTTGTGTTAAAATTTGATTAGATACTTGTAAATGCAATTAGATATTCAGCAGATCATATGTCATAGACATAATAAATGTTGCTAAATTCTTAATCAATTCGAAATATAAATAAATAGCATATAGAACTTATCACACGTTCACAGATATGTATTTTTTTTATAATTTACATTAAAAAATCTCTCCGTTTTTTCCTCCTTAAACAAAATGTTTAGCCTCATTATCCTGGTCAGCTGCAAGTCATACACCAAGGTAAGTATATACCAATATATATATATATATATATATATATATAGGGAGAGAGAGAGAACGCTCGATTTTGCCTGATGATTACTATCATTTACCTGGTTAATGTATTTAAAAAGCCGACTTCCAACACTGAATTTACAGTATAGGGTTATGGAGATTATTAAGTTATTGATTGAGATCATGAACCGATTTATGTTGGACCACCATTGAAAACCTGGAAGCACTGCACGGCCGTTCCATCCTATTGTGGGACTCCTCAGTAGTGCGCTTTGTGAGAAAATTCTCGGAGTTCTAGTGAGAAGCCGTGACGAGTGAATCTAATCCGTGTCGAGTAGAGACAGGTATCTACTTCAGTACAATGGAAGATGGTCGTGCAATCTCGTGGGTTGGTTGACGCTAGACATTAGCACCGCGAGTGGTATCGTGGATGAGCGCTGCTGACGAGTCCCACAATGAGATGAAACGGCCGTCCAGTGCTTCCAGGTTTTCAATGGTGGTCCAACATAAATCGGTTCATGATCTCAATCAATAACTGAATTTACACTTTAAATTATTTTGAGCTGTCTTTTTGCGGTCATTTTGTTTTTATTTCCGCTCAACAGCCTAACTGTTATTATCACTAGTCAACGTTATGTTCATTGGTAAATGAATAATAATAATAGAGAACATACTTCTTCAATCATTTTTTATCGTCACTTTTAAAGCTGACTAAGGAAACTTCATATAAGCGTTAGTTACCAATCTAATTAATATCAGAATACAACCACTGTATGTAAATTAGTTGTGCTAAATTTGTTTTAGTTAGTCAGCTCATTCTCACCTCGAACCGTGAGGCTCAAATGCACACGATGAGTAGGTAGATCTTAAAAACTAATGTCAATTTAAATGTGACTTTTTGAATATTGTTATTGATCAGATGTTTCTGTTATGTGATATCTTCATAAAATTACAGTGGTTCATGATTCATTTTCATGATCTACCTCGCATAATAATGTTGGTAATGTGAAATAGCTAATTAACAACAAGCATAAAATACAAATTTGGATTATAGTAGAATATATTCCGACAATTAAATATTTAATTGAATTTACATAAATTGATTTTGTCAACGAATCGTGTCGTTAATTTTCACATATGAATAAAGCGGAAGTTTATGGATTCAAGAATGAGATAAACAATCAAATATTCATGATCTAACATACAGCATATGTTCATCACTCTATCGACAAGAATTATTAAGGACTTTATGACAGATGTTTACCCAAACATATTTGGATTTATCTATGGCCACGTTCCCAGTTTGTATTCGTTCTTTAAGGATTTACAGATAAAAAGTTTTGTGAATTATTTAATTTTCATGTAAACAAGGAATCTTGATTTTTAACAAAGTGATATGCATAATAAACCCTATCCTGAATATCATATAGTGTTTATCGTGTTAAACGAGACGAATTAATAATAAACGCAGTGTTGATGTATAATAAGTGTTGGCTCCATGATTTAAACACTGTCGATCATTGCGCTAATTTTAAAAACAGTTTTTATCATGAATATTTTTGAAAACCGATTAAGACAAGCAAAAATAGAATTTAGTAAATAGTACTCTGTTTTTCTGTGTTTTGTTAAAATATTGTCGGTATGGATTAAAACGTGATATGCCATAAAAAATTCCTGTCTTTGTGAGAAAATTTTCGAAGTTTATGAGCTTCAGACTTTGACACTTGTCTAAAAAATATCACTAATTATTTATTTACTGCTGAATACTCAAACACCGCACACGTTTTCAAGAAAATCATGTTTCTTCAGGGTATTACAACTGTTATACCTATAATCCTTTTGAAGATGATGTTAGAAGAAAAGCTTAATGATTAGTTAATCACGAATTGTATTGTTAACCATTTGTTAGATATGTAATCAAAATAAAATTTATCTACTGCTATTACTTAATCCTATATATGCAAAATTGAACAAATATGCAGTTATAATTGTCAGAAGCACTGTATAAAAGTAGTTTGTACTTCGTAAATATAAAAATCCACATTTTCTAGCATTTAAATGAAGTAAGAACAACAATGTTCTTGGTTTGTCTAGATTTTTGAGTAAAATTAACTATATGAAATTTCAAGGATCTACTTTGTTATCTTGCATATTGGTCATTTTACCTCATTTGTCGATTATGTTACATTGCTTAAAAGATCCCGATCAGTTAGATTTTAGTAGATGAGTTTTATGTTCACTTACAAAATTATCAAAACTTAATTGTTATATTTTCCATATTTTCAAAAACTTTAAGTCTTTGATACCTCTCATATACATAATTTTATTACAATTTCTACTTTAACTCGGTGTGTAGATTAGATACATTTTGATAGTATAATAGACACACTTTTTACTAACTTACACTGATTAAATTGAAGTACAACTTGCATAACACAGAATGGCAAAATACATAAACAACTTAATTTACTTTGTGTTCTAAATACTTAAACTTTCTTAGAATGTGACATCTTTAAACAAAAATGCATGATATAAAATTTGGTTATTAACACAAAAACTGTCATTATGTTATCTGGATTAGTGATGAAAAAAACATTTAAGCCTATAGAATCTAATTATCTAGAAAAAATTTTGATCATCAAATGTTAAGAATTCGGAAAGGAACTTATGAACTTTATATATATTAGGTTCGTCTCGAAAGCACAATTTTATTTTTAATTATTTTTGGAAAGATCACTGATAAAATTTGTCTCTTGTCAGCGGCCGGTATTAATTTCATAAAAATATGTATGTAAGAGAATATATGTTGATATCATTTAATTGTATACTCTGCTGCGTAAACTTATTTTAAGCTCATTAGCTTACTTGTGCTTTCAATGTTAAGATTTCAGACGTTACTTAGAAGATACTACCATTCTATCTAAGTATGTGTGGTATATGTATGTTGCTTAAAAATCTGACATTAATGGTAAAAGTTTGATTAACGAAGGCTATTTCCCAGTTATCTTATGATCTCACATGAACATACATTATAAACATGAAACAAATAACAATTTTTATTTATATAGAAGTATTTCATATATGACTACTGATTAATAGTCCTTATTTTACATCCAGTCTCTAATTATTTCAAACTCAGTCAGTACCAAAACTTTATTTGCTAAATTTGTTGGCTTGAAACTGTTAGTCTGTTTTTTGTCAAAGAGCTTAGGTAGTTTAAAATTAATTGAAGAACTGTTATTACTAAACCAATATTTCTTAGTAGATCGACATATTTCAAATAAGTTAGTACTCGGACATGCATTTCGATTAATGATTAAAATCAAAGAAATTGAGAAAGAAGATGATGAATATGTCTTCAATTTAGGATATATATTTAAGCAGCAGAATTAAGTTACATCTTTGAAAGACGGCTTACATCATACACTTTATTTCTTTATGATCACAATTATCACTATGTTTGAATTTGAATTTGAAATCAGTGTCGGACTATGTGTAAAAAGAAATATTTTCCTCAGGTAAACCGACAAAAATCATATGTTTACACTTTCTTTGATAGTGTGTATATGTAAAAATATACACCAAAGTGTGCAATTCGCTTTCTGTGAAGTGAAAAAGCTATTTGCGTATATACTTGTCAAAATTAGTACGTATTCAGCAAAGAGGCAACTAATAAAACAAGTACTTTAAATGAACCCGACTAAAAAATAAACATTATTGTATGTTTATTTTGGTTTGCTTTTACTTTAAAACTACTTTTAGAACCATAACAACTCTATAAAACACAGCATATTTGTTATTACAACGACATTTTCTCTAGAAAACGTGACTTTAGCATAACCTTTTGAGAATCTAAATGTTACAGAATATTCGTAGTGATACCATATTACCTTGGATTAGGAGTAATTTGATGCTCTGTTTTTGTATTTATTGCATAAAGCAGATAAAAAGATCCACATAGTTTTTTCTGTATATATTATTAAATTAGGTTTTGCATGTAGTAGGTTGGTTTAACTTGTAATTTACTTTAAACTTCATAAAAATTTTTATTGAATTCAAACAGAGTAAACGACTATTAAATGATTACTTTAATTCTTTCCTTCAGTAATACATAATTTGGTAATAACATTCCCAACTACTTTTTGATGTAAGGTTTTCAGTTTCGTACGCTAGTGGTATTAATTTCAAAAAGGTTAGAAACTGATCACAATTTGCACATCAACAGTACTCACCAATCAGGAAACGGTTTCATATTTTTAACTTTACTTAGTAACAAGGTTACTCATTAGACGTATCCATCGTGAAATTACCCCAGTTTTAATAAATAGAAAAATAAGCTAAATGAGAAGTAGTCTCTTAATATATAGTATTTTCTCATGAAAGTTGTATACTATATGTGATTTTCACAAACATTTGAATATTCATCATGGACCTTGCTCATACACTGTGAGGACAATTCATTCAGGTATGTGCTCTCGTAAGTTTATTCACAGGAGTTCTCTTAATCAAAAAATGTAAATTATTACATTCCATAAAGTCTGATATTAAATCGAAAGCAAATTTTACACCAATATCCTATACTAATAGACAATTTTTATCAACTATAAAGTATGAATACTTAAACAGAAAAACACTTTCTACCTTCTATATTGAACTAAAGCGTACTAAAAAGAAGAATAACCACTGAAATCTATACTTCTTCATTTTCTTTAACCGTTACTTCATGACGCTATCCAGCTGACGTATTACTAGTTAATGGGAATAATTTTTCTTTTAAATTAGGGTAATATATCCTTATTGAAATATAATATCTGTCGTGTCTTATGACTGAAATATATTTTATCATTCTTCATAATACAATAATAAATGGTCGTTGACGTATAATAATCTATCGAACAAAATATTGCACACAGAAACACATGTATAACATCTGATGATATTAGTTAGAAGAAACACTTGTACTTTTAATGATAAATGAACAAGAATCAAGTTAAATAGTATATTTTTGATTTCATAGTTATAAACTATTTTGTCAGTTATTTGCTCTATGAATGCTCCCAATAATTTATCTTCATTCTTTTAACATATATATATTGAGAAAATTTTCCTTTATTAGTTTATTTTCTAACGACATTAAAATTGATTACCAGTATTTTTACAAGTGATCAGTTACAGAATTTTTTCGCAAGAATTGAAAAGAATCAAAATGTATGAGGGTTGATAAACCAAAATTTAACACGTATTTATAAATTACATAATGAGAATTTAATTTGTTAAGAATATATATAACCATTATATAGTAGAGTCTATTTTTAAAACTTATATTCACTGACAAGTTCCCAAGAGAATCAAATAAATTAGACGAAGAAACATAAGAGTTCTTGTATACATGAATACTTTGTTTTTCTATTGATAATTATTTATCAACTCCAGATATTAACAAAACATTTACTGATAATGAACGAAATTAATGTGCTTGTTTTATTTTTTATATAAATATTTAGACGAAATCATCGAGGAACTTGATTTGTTTCATTTATTATAATAAATTCGTCAGATTTACACATTATTTGATACGATATTTTTTAAGATAATACTCACAAATAGTTATTATTCTACCACCCTTAGCAAATTCAGACTATTAATACTTCAATACTGAAATATTAAATACACAAAATGTATTTTTATTAGTAAATTAATTTTTATCAATAAATCATTTGTTCAACTGATTATTAATATTGGTATTAAATTCATGAAAGTTCTGTGTTTATTATGAGAGTTCTGTATGTGTATTGAGTAAAAGTTTAAACCTGAGTTTCGTACTATTTAGTAACAGTAATCAACGAAAATCCTTAATAAATTGATACCTCTCATAAAACTCAAATTTATTTTGTCCGGTATGATGAAGATTTAAGCAAAATCATCTGAAATCAAATTTGTTGTACTAGATTTATTCGGTTAAATAACTCATATAGGGAAAATAAAACAACTTAAATCTGATTTTATCTATGTTTAGTTTAATCTTTATATGGACTTTCATATTTTAATCACAGCTTCTATTTAAAAAATCTCCCTCATGATATATGGTGACCTTCGAACTATTATACAATTAGTTCCTTTTATGAACTCAACTAAACACAGACTTTTGAAATCTAAATATTTACAGTTATCTAATCTTTCCGATGATTAGCTTGTAGTGAATATGAAGAAATCTGTGGATTACACATTTTGTAAAAGTGTTTTTGTCTCATATGATCTCATGAATACACTTTTTTAAATAACCAATACTTTTATTCCGTAAAGACTTACTCAATTAGTTTCCAGGCTTTAACATCTTGTTTCTTCTCTCTGTTCTTTTACATTGTAGCAATAAGGGTTGACGTTGAGGACGCAAATCACTATAAGAAAGACATTCTGACGGCAATCGAATGTAAATTAGGAGTAAAGTTGCAACCGTTCTTCATTGTTGCTGGTCTTTTGAGAGATGTGAAAGATCCAATGTTCGCGCTTCAAGCATTCCTAGGTAAATAAACAATTCCTACTATATTTTCACTTATACTTCGTGACTACTTATAAGTAGGTAAATCAAATTTATGACTTCATTATATGTAACTAAGGTTTACTTCTTTCCTTTACTTCGAAGCCGAAATAGTTTTTCAGTTTACGATATTGGTTGTTGATATTAAACTTTCAGTGGCTACCGCTAGTAAAGAATTTTATTATTTTAAATTAATTCGTAAGGTCTGTTGAGCTGATATTCCTGACTGAATTTTAATCACTTTCGGCATATTTGAATCCTGTGAGGATTACCTCGATATGGTCATTTTGTCGCACGTTTTGTTAAAGGAACGAATTGCAGTTGACAATGCGATCCCGAACGCCCGTATATGAGCCCATTGGATACTGAATTATACAGTGAATGAGTCTCAAGTAGTGTGAAACATACTTCCTGGATTCCACCGCGAACCACAACCCTTTTGTTCAATGGAATATATTTTTGTCTTCCTCGCATCGTAAATCTGTTTCTGCGTTGGTTATTTACAGTGATAATGAATTTCCTTCGTGAATTGACAAAACTTCCCGGGCCTTGTAATATTTTCCAGAAGACAACTGTTTTCTTTGACAACTGATAACTCCTATTTAATGACAGAGCACATACGTAAATTAATCTTCCCTTACTAGACTGGAAGATTATGATTAATTTCACACCACAAATAGGTTTTCAATGATGCTTACCATATAAACTCCAGCCCAGTGGCCTAGAGGTTAAGCGTCCGTAAGCGAAACCAAGGGTCCCGAGTTTCAATTCCGTTGTTGGGTTCCTGGGTGCGCACTGAGGTCAACTCGTAACCTCAGTGAACACCTCAAGTGAATATCGAAGGATATATACTCATGTTACGTTGATTACTACTTAAATTTTGAGTGACCTAAGGTTTGTTCGAATTTATCTTTTACTAACACAGCAGACTATTTATACCTACATAGCTATCGTAGCGTATAATCAAATTCATATTGATTATAAAAGTTGTTTTTAAAGTAGAGTCAGGTCTTATCATTTTTTGGACAGTAAGAATCAAATTAAGATGAAGAGGGACTTTTGCGTTAGACATCTGATCCTGAGTAGTTTTCTAATCTATACAATGCTACCGCTTGTTTATACAATGGCATTAATTTAATTAGCTGGAATAAACCAGACATGTGTTCCAAAACATATTCAGTTTCTTTCATTTGCTTTGGCTCGAACTATAGTCATTCCTTTCCTTCGTCCTGTCAGTCCCATACTAATATAACTTGAACCTTAATCTCATTTTTTGTATATGTTTTCCCAATCTCGACCTACGAAGAATCATAACTGCATATATATAGTATTCCCTACAATTTGTATCAGTAACATGATTTAAACTCTGTTGACTATAACTCACTAAACTATCCCACCATTTTTCGTATGACCTTTCAACCTTATAATGGGGCATTTTGCACGTATCTAGCACGTAACTGATTCAAAATCGATAGTTGTCAATTTGCACCACTGTCGATTCCATTCACATTTGGTATATATATACCCTAGTTTAGAGTGTTCAATTGTTTGCTCAGATATCTTCCATTTTGGAAATATTTAAATTATTGAAATGGTTTATCCACTATTCTGGATTTTATTTGATTACTTCTTAAAATATTTTCCTATTTATCAGTCACCAAAACTCTAGTAATACCTAATCATAACTAATTTAATGGCATAATTATATAGAAGTCACTTTCTCTGTACTTCGTTCAAGCATTTTTGTAATCTTTCTTCTTTTTTTGTTTTCTCAGAATGGAGAAATCAAGGTAAAAAAGAGAATAAGGATTCGAAAGTGACTTCAACTATTAATTATAAATCTTATAATCTTTTATATGTTGGATCGGTTGTAAGTTATTCAATACTTGTTGTAATTAATGTGAATATAAAAAATTATAACAAAAATCACCAGCTCAAGTCATTATTTTCTAACTGAAATGTAGATTAACAAATAGTCCATCGTTAAATGTGATTATATGAGACGTTAGGTAACTAGTTTATTGAACTGTTGTGAGATTACCACAAGTAAACTCGGTGGAAGTGTTCAGACTATCGTTTGAATACGTTAAAATAAGTTTAGGAAATTATGTAAGTCTAGATTTATGTTCTTACAATGTCGTATATACAGAAAATATTGATCTATGTCCTACCTGTCACCATGTTTTCTACTCAGTATGATATAAATTAGATTTTTTCCGTGTACTGTTTTATTTCTTTTTATGCGATAACACATTAATTTGACGGTCATTTTAAATTGATAACAGACATAATATAATATCTATTTGCTTTGTAACGCATTTCTTATGTCATTCTAAAAATGGGCCGTAAACAAACATTAAAAACTCTGAATTCATATACAGGATTAAAAATGTCATAGCTATTTTAAAGAATAATTTAAGTGATTTTATGATGCAATGTGTTACGTCCTTGATCTGTCTACCCACTTTTGGTGCTGAGGCTACTTATCTAATCCAGATTTAAGATCCTGGCGCGATAGGCTGACCGACCTAACGCTGAAGATTGTACGCGTGAGTTCAAAGTGGGGTAGAGAGAAGAAGACTATTCTATCACCTGATTGGCTGACAAGCACGCGAATGAGAGAAGACAAGACAAGTGGAACACTACTCGATCTATTCCCGATATCCCGATTTCGGATTCGTGTAAAAAGGTACATGAATAAATAGGTGACTAACCCGACCGCAACGTACAATAATTAGGAAAAATACAATTATGTCCAAAGCTGGGAATGAGAGTAGAAAATAGAGTACAAAATATTGTTTAAATTACAATAGCTTCGGAACAGAAAACGGTATGGCAATGATTCATACATCGAACGAAAGCTTATGTTCTGTAGAATAGATTAGGGACAAAAATAAATGTTAGGTTTTACAAGCTTTCAATAAAATAAAATAACGTCCCGAAAAATAGCTTTCGTAGTTTGTCAGAGCTTCCTGTTCCCCTGTTCAACACAATGTATAGAATCTGTTTTATTGATATATGCGGAAACACAGTTTCAAAGGTATCATTGCTTAGTTCCCACTATTTGCAATCGAACATCATCATTTTGAAATTAAGTAGGCTAATTTTAGGGACTAGTTTTGTATTACTGTTGTGACTACTCCGAAAACCACAACGAAACCTTCAGAGGCCCTGAAAGTGCCAAAGTGATCTCGTCCAGTCAGAACATGATAGAACCTTATAAAATATCGACGCGATATGCTATTCTTGGAGAATTGAATAACTTACCTATATGTGGGTTGGCTGGATTATAATGATGTTATAGTCAATATCGCTGTTTTCCTGTACATTTTTGACTCTTACCTGATGATAACTTCCCTTGATTCATCCGCCTTTTGATTTGAGACTGTGGGGTTATACATATTCGAGTGCCAATAGTTGTATACCGTATTTTTCAAGTAGGGGATGTAATAATTACTGCTTTCAATTAACACTACTCAAGATTCTAATTTAAACCTTGAGGTAAAATATTGATCAAGTCAATATTTCCAGGTATATATTTTATTTGTGATTGGTGGTGATTGTTAACCAAACACTCAAACTGAAATATGTCTAAATTCTGCTTTGTTTGAATAATTTACAGATTAAAATGGAATTAAGTCAGTGTATTTAACAGTTGTGAACATAATACCTTGATGAATAACCAATCGGTTATTGTGAAGCAATATTTTTCATAGAGAGTTTCTAAATTCCGAATTCATTGTTACTACTATTAATGACAAAATATTATTCATTTTATTTAGGAGTCTGAAATTTCTCATGTAATCAATAAAAATACAAGAAATGTATCAAAAGACAATCTGATGATTACTTTGAAATATTGAAGTCGCATAAATTTTTAACTTTGTAGTACTAACTGTAAGAATGAACTTTCTGAACTCGATACCTTAGGTATCAATTAGGAGTTACTTGAGTCTAAGTAATAATAACAATACATAGAAGACACAGTTTATCACTATAATATTTAGAACTCTATAAATAAGTAAATATACATGTTTGTTCAAGTGTATCCCCACCATTAATCACCAATCCTGTAACTTCACTTTTGGAATCAGAGGTAAATTGTGCAACATAAAAGACTACTACAAAGTGACTTTTAGACAGATTAGACATACAAAAGTACTTTACTTCACGTATCACTACTTAATGCAATAAAATATTTCAAGATGTTTTCTAAAAAATTTAAATAGCTAACAATTTATTGTATGAGTTATTAAAAAACTAACTCTGAAGTGGAATTAAAACTAATAACTGTGTGATAAATACTTATCCCAATACTTTAGTTATGATGTAATTTAGTCACGAAAAACAGGAATGACTTATAATTCTGTGAAACGAGCCTTTTTATAGTGTACAGACAAAGTGAACAAGCTACAATCAATCTCAAACTGGCAAATGAATATACATCGTAGTCTGTCAGAGCAGTTTCAATTTTTTATAACTCCAGTTAGGAATCTGAATAACTTGAGACTAATCTTCATTGTATAATTTACAGCGGTTACAAATTACTGATGTATTCTGCACTCAGGAAGTAGGCACTTAAACTTTACTTAATGAACTTATATGTGGTTGTTCTATGATAAAACTACTACGCAGCCATAGTACGTCAACCGAACTTAATCGAGTGTATTCAATATAAGGAAAGTGAAGAATATTCATGATTTCTCCTAAAACAGAAAGCATATGACACAATGCGTCTGCATGAACTAATAAATAACGTGAAAAAAAATTCAACAAGATATTATTAAAAAGCATAGCTGTTGATTACTAAAAAAATGAATATAGACTATTAATTCATGACAGATGAATGTAAAAACTTGAATGATAAAAAGTGACAGTATGGATTTTAGGACGTTCCTAGCATCAGATTTTGTATAATCAACATAAATTTTTATATTTCATATTTAAATCAGTCAAAAAATAGAAGTTTGACTAATAAATTTCCTCTCATTACTCACTTTAAAAAAATTCGATTACATATTCACATATCCTATCAAATTAAATAGTGACCATAGTGGTTCGGTCTATGTTACACAGTCAGATAGATAAATAACAATAGAGTAATTCTGTTTTTGTGACACTTACAGGAGTACACATAAATTCGTACGAAATATAACACGTAATTACTTAAACCCTCTACCCGTCGTGGAGGTGCATAGGCCGCCCACAAACATTCTCAATCCAACTCTATCCTGGAATATCCTTCCCAGCTGCTATTCATCATTTTCATGTCTAACTCCAATTCCCAACGCAGTGTGTTCCCTGGTCTTCCTCCTTCCCGTTTACCTTCAACATTCCAAGTCAACGTTTCCCTCGTGATGCAGTTTAACGATCTACTCAATGTGTGTCCTGTCCACCTCCAACATCTTTTCCTAATTTCCTTTCCAGCTGGAAGCTGGTTTGTTCTCTCCCACAATAGACCGTTGATGATGGAGTCCGGCCAACGAACATTGAGCATCTTCAGTAGACAAGTATTTATAAATACTTGTACATTCTTGACGATAGTTGTAGTAGTTGTCCAAGTTTCAGCTCCGTACAGTAGGACTGTGTTGACGTTCGTATTGAAGATTCTGACTTTGATATTGGTTGACAGTTGTTTTGAGTCCCATTTGTTCTTCGACTGTAGGAGTCCTGTTGTTGTGTTTACCAATCCTTGCCTTTACGTGTGATCGGATCCTCCTTGTTCATCGACGATACTGTCCAGGTAGGTGGAAGTTTCCACCTGTTCTCGAGTTTCTCCATCAAGTGTGATTGATTTTGTTGGTGTTCTGTGTGTTGTATTTGAGTATCTTGGTTTTTCACTTGTGTATGTTGAGTCCTGTTGATACAGAGACAGCTGCTACACTGGTTATCTTCACCTGCATTTGTTGGTGTGTGTGTGATAGAGGATGTAGGTCATTTGCGAAGTCCAAATCGCTTAGGTGCATGAAAGCAGCCCATTGTATTTAATGCTTTCCCTCAGATGTTGAGGTTCTCATAACCCAGTCAACTATTAGATGGAAGAGAAGTAGGTAGAGTAAGCAGACTTGTCTGACTCCGGTCCTCACTTTGAATGCATCTGTCGGTCACCATCCATACATCAATTTGCTATGCAGTCCGTCGTATGAATTACGGATTTGTGTAGCTATGTCGTCAGCATATCTAATCTTTTATTCGGTTCAACAATAATCTATTGAAAGTTTTTCCTGATAATGAGAGTTTAATACCTCAGTAGTTCTCACACTTGCTGAGATCTTCCTTTCTTTTTTATATTGATGAGATATCCTTCTTTCCAGTCTGTCGCCACCAGTTCTTCCTCACACATCTTCCTGAATAGAACGTGGAACATGTTTGTAGTTGCTTCTATATCTAACTTCAGTGCTTCAGCTGGTATGTTGTATGGTTCTGCTGCTTTCCCACACTTAATTTGTCTGATGGTCACCCTGATTTCTTCAATCACTGCTGGAGCGACAGCTGTAGGAAGGTCTGCATGTGTTGCCTCATTGTCCGGTGGGTTCGGTGTGGCTGGCATATTCAAGAGTTCTCCAACATGCATTACCCACCTGTTCCTCTCTTCTTGAATTTCAGTGAGTGGCTTGCCCTTTGTGTCCTTGACCGATCTCTCTGGTTTAATATGTTTCCCTACTGGTTTCTCCGTTACGTCACATAGTTGTCTCATATTTCTTTCTGTTGCAGCTTTTTTCGCTGTCTTCCACGTATTTCTGTTTGTCAGCTCTAACGTTCCTCTTCATCTGCTTCTTAGCTTCTGTGTATTCGACCTTTGCCTTGACTTTCTCTGTTCTTGTTCGGCTGCTGTTAATTGCTGTCTCTTTGTTCTTGATTTCTTTAATCGTGGGCAGGGTTTCGATACAGATTCATTCTTTATGATGATGCTTCTTGCGGCTCAGACCCTCCTGACACATTGAACTTGACGCTTCATTGATCCCTTGCTAGTTGTTCTCCATTGTAGTTCCCTCTACTTTGACTGCAACCTCTCATAAAACTGACCCTTATTGTCTTCATTGTTATCATTGGTAGGTGCATAGCACCGGATAACATTAATTGTTATTCCCTCCTTCTTGGTTTTGACGACTCCGGATCAATTAAATTCCCATCCCATAAGTGCTCTTCGTACTTCTTTGGACAGTATTAGTGCAACTCCTTGTGTGTGCACGGTATTTTCTTCGTCAACACCAGAGTAAAATAGTAAAACAGGATAATTTGTCTGCGTCAGTTTTCTATTTGAAATGAATTACTGTGTAGAGAGTGAAACACTTCACTTTAGACCTAATTATTTTAATGAACAATAGGATAATAAAATCAGTATGTATCTAGTTTATTCATTTTATAACTGAAATAACATGTAGCATAGACCAATGAGTGATAAATATTCGAAGTTTATTTTATATCAGTTGCGATATGACCTTGTTTTCAGTAGGTCCATTGACATATACCTCACGAACATACACTATATTAACTCTATGCTTAACTACACAAATTTGTTCAAGCACTTCAAGTTCTTGATAGTTGGCTTTCAGTTTGCTTTTCAATTATATAACTAGGTTTTTTTTTTCTCTGGTGAATAACAATCTATTCTTTATTTTTTCATTTGGCTCTATCATTCATCTTTTTTTATTTTACTTAAACTAATGTAATCGTGTTAACTATTTTCCTCCGTGCACACATGTGACATACTGTAGTTAATTTAGATCATTGTAACATGAAAGATTATATACATATATATGAATAACAATTGCAAGTTAGTTTGCTAGTCAGGTTTAGATTTCTTACTGTCTAAATATGTAGGCTTGTTTGTGTGCATATATTTAAATCCATTCGTGTTATTTATCTATTTGTATGCTTTCTTTGAGTGTAGAACGAAAAAAAGAAAGAATTATTCTTAGTTTCTGTTAACTATAAACTATTAGCATGAATGAAGTTTATTGACTATGGTCGATAAACAAGAGAATCGAAAACAAAATCAACAAATAATAACCTGTTTTCAAGTCTATATGATAAATAATAAATTATTGAAATGAACAAAGCCAATTTTTGTTTTAATGTACTTATTTTATTACCATGATTACATTTTTATTAAAAACATCAATTAGTCAGTTGGAAAACCTGAATGTTTTCATTTGATCGTCTGAATAATTTTCAATTTATGGTTATAATTATCACAAATCGGATTATGGTTACTGTGAGTAGTGGTAGTTTGTTCTATTGTATGTTTGAGTATAATCCGTAAACATGTAATTCTCTGTAAGCGATTACTTGTTCCATGTAAACAATAATGTACCACAACTTGGATAACAGCTGATTTTGTACGTTTATCAAATAGGCATACATTATCTAGAGTAATAACTTTCGTTTGCCGAATGAAGCAAATAATAGTGTACAGTTTAGTATTTGAACTAACTCGTCACAGTAATAAGGACACGTTCTAAGGAACTTATTGGATATTACTAAAATAATGAGCAACCCTAACCGAAAATAATCAAGAAACTCGGTAGTTAATTTCAATTAAGTTTTCGAAAAAAATAAAACTATATATCTAGTAAGATTTAAATTTTTTTAAACAACAGTTGAAACATAATCATTCAACATTTCGAGAATAGATTCATTACAGATTAAATAATTAATTTAAAATTAAGAAGTATTTCAGAACAGAATTATTGAAATACTAAATTAAAACAACTTACTATTTGTTCTTTATTTGACTATAATTATATTGTATAAACTAACCATTTCCTACGTGAATTTATGTGATCTCTGATTTTTTTTATTAGGAAGAAGATACAGAAAATATACAACAATTTATTGATGAAATAGATGGGTAAGTTTTTTTTTGCGAGTAATACATCATATCGCTTAAGTATTATTTTTCCAACTTTAAATTACTTAGATTTAATAAGAAATAATTAAACGATATTGATATTAATTAGTTGACCTACCAAGCAACTGTACATAAAATATCCTTAAAATTTACGGAATTATGATAGGATTTAGTGATGTTTATTCAAGTATCTACATTAGCAATCACATAATAATTTATGAAACTTATATTTTTTAATAACTTGAAAGCTTGATCTGACGTGGATTTGTGCAACGCTTTATTTTGATTATAGCTGACTTTAGAAGTTTGAAAGTTTATATGAGTTCTGTAACAATGATATATGGTAATATTTTTTAGTTACTTATTGCGAAACAAATTCCTAATGATAAATTAATAAGTATGATAGATTATCATATAGATAATATTATTATGGATAAAAAAAACAACTATAGTCAATTCCACTTAATTCAATAGTTTACGAATAATTAAATTAAATTAACAATTTTATTCCCAATGGATTTCTTTCATTCATTTAGACTAAACAGAACCAACAAGATTGTTTCCTAAAATGGCATTTTTGTAACATTTTCTTGTATATTTGGAAAGTTAAATATACAATTACTATCAACTCTACTCGGCTTGCACAGTGATAACTGATGATTTTTTTTCTTTAGTGGTATACCAAAATACAACTGAATATCTTACCCAACAATATAAATACTACCCGAAATTGATTAAAATTGGGCTGAATCTAATTAAATGTTACCATAGCTTTTTGACTAAGTGGGAAAATTTCTTTTTTTTCACATATAACAAACACGCAGTAAAAATAGTCCTGTTTTTGTAAAATACTATTTGAAATAAAATACTTCAATCTAATTATTGGACACAGATTATGACATTCTATATCGGATTTTACAATGTATGAATTTTTTCTTCGACTGTGATTATTTTAAGTAATAAATTCTTAATTGCTGTAACAGAAAACTTGGAAGAAATTATAAATGACTTTATGATATAATGTATTACAATTAGGCCATATTTAAAGCGTTGAGACATTATGATAATATTCTTTTTAAGTTATTCAACTACACTAATATATTTGATGAAATAAAGTTAGATGAAGCATTAGAAAGTTTCGGCAAAGCGTTTTGTACTACATCATAATCTATGTATGCTGAATAAGATTAGCATGAATCGACTTCAATTTAACTGAACAGCTTGATATTCAAGGCTAGGTCTAATTTCCAACTCTATCCATCAATTTTTTTGTTGCAAAGATTTCTTAAAGTTGTCATCATCAAAATGATATTGAAGATTTTTGTTAATTCAATAAAACAATTATGGCATAACTGCACTTTATGTATACAGATATTCAATTAGTTCAAAAAAAATATAATTTCCCAATAATAAATTATAAGTTTCAAAGCGAGGATATTAGTTAAATTTTCAAATATGATTGATAGTTTTAGCCTGACATCAACATAGATATTTGATTTTTATATGCCTACTTCAACTGTACTCTTTATTCATTAATAATATCAAGGATGGGAAGAATAATGTCAATTTCTTCTTCCTACGACAATTATTGGAATTCTTCATTATGATTGTATATGGCAAACATTACAAAATTGTATTTAGGAAACACCGTATGGTACGTTGAAAAAAAGCTAACAATCATATGTTCAAATATAATATACACATACAACAACCAATCAAAGAAGAAATAAACCCTGTTTATTGATTGGTCCACACTAGTCAGTCTTCACGTACCTGACATTTGAGAAGGCGAATAAAACTGCTTTATTTATTGATTAATTGAAATTAAATTTTTATATGAATGAAAATTTTACCTCACTCAAAATGTAATAAAAGCACTGAACTGTATTGACAACTATTATGATACTATAAAATACATATTACTGTATTTATATGAAAAAAGGGAATATTTTTGAAAAGACAAAGAGATCATTGTATACACGAACTTCATGTACATGTCATCAGAGATCCAACCTAAGAAATGCCATACCTATTCAACTAAGAGTGATGTCAACAACTATAGTTTGTTATAAGTATAAAAAATTGTGACAATGACAGATATGCTGATAAATCCCCGTTTATTTATCAATTAGTTTATCTAAATGATAGTGCTGATAAACACAGAAGTCTACAAATCATAATTCAAAAATAAGCAAACTGTATGATGTACTGTAATAAAAGATAAGACAGTAACTGCTATTTAATCATTATCCATAAACAAACAAAACTAAGCGCGATATTTTAAATACGACACTTGAAAAGTCACTGATGTCTGAAGTATTTATTTTGTTTAAAAATAACTAAATTGATGTAGTAAAAGGTTTAAAACGTGTTGTATTTTAATTGTAAGCAAGTCTAATGAGATTTGTGGATAAGTAACTGACAAAGTATCATCAGTCGATTCATTTCAGACTCGTTTTATTTTATTGTACATCATTTCATCTCTAAAGTAGCTTAGTCTTTTTTACTTAATTTTATACATATACAGAAGTCACATAGAGGTCAAACAATAGACTGCGTCTAAGCTAGAATAACGAAGGTTAATTGAGGATCTATACAGTCATAAAAGTAAAAGAAAACAGACAAACGAAATAAAATTACACGTACAAGGGAAATTATCTTGTGTTATTTATGTTATCGTATCTTCTCACTCTTTACACGAAAACTTGTGTGTTATCTATAAATAGTATGTTCTTTATTACAGCAAAGGGAAATCAATAACACTGATACTCGAAAAAGTAGTAAACTAATCATTGTGGAGCATAACGCTCAATAGAAAAACAATAATAGCCGGTAGTTCTATGACTAATTATTGGATCACTGCCGAAAACACTTTTCCAACAAGTCAAAGGAATTAAATTTACGATACCATCTCTAGAAATTGCACTCCGTGATTCAGAAAAAGTGTTTTTATCATTTCTAATTCTACTAAAATGACAGACTTTAACACAAGTAACCTGACGTGTTTGTTTTTTAATAGAATATTTTGACTAAATGGATAAATCACTTTAGAGCATGTATACAATGTTAGAGAATCCTTATTTCAAAGTTTTGTAATATATATTAATATTACTGATGGAATTTTCTTTCTTAGCATTTTGTATTAGGAAATGATAAATCGAGTTGATCGAAATACTGATATTTATCAGGTTTCATTATTCATGGCTCCCTGTGAGTATCAAATAATTAATGCATAAGTCAGACTAGCATAACTGCTCTAATAACAATCATACATATTCTTATATTTTTATCAAACTTACTCAAACTATGTGGTGATTTTCAGCCAGTGTTTTTGGTAGTATATATATATATATATATATATATATATATATATATATATATATATATATATATATATATATATATAAACAACATGATTACTTTATAGACTGAACAGTGAATGAACTGAATTTGGAAATTCTGTACAAATTATTCGGTTAATAATGGTAGATAGACTTGATGAACCGTTATCACAATTAAGATGTGAACTATAATAGGTGCTTTTGACAGAAACTGACAACTTAAAATGTAGATAAATGAACTTTCCACTTGATCTGATAATAATAGTAAATTTCTATTATTGAAGTCAGTTTAACTATAGGACCATGTGTGTTAAATTTTTTACTGAAACTAACAATATTATGAGAGTTTCTATTTTAATTTTGGTTCCCAAATTGTTATTAGATGAAATCTGATATACGGAACACCTTCAGTATTTGACGTATTCATATTTGATAATCAATTATCTTCAAGTTTTCTCTTTAAATTTCAGAAAAGTTGTACATCGGTGTGATTCATTAACACAAAAAGAATTGCATTCATTAATGCTTAGCTCTCAAGCACTGATCAATTGTTCAATCAGTGAAGGCCAGTCTTTGGCTGTAATGGAGGTATGTATGCGTACATAGTTGTATAACTATTCAAACTACTATTTTCATCTATTTATCAAGCGATTTTCTCCTTTGAAAGTGATGTCAATTTTTGTAAATGAAAAACGCTTTTAAACTTGTTTACTAATCGCGAAAAGATAAACAGACTTACAAATCATGTGAAATAAATAAATAAATAGGCATCTAGAATGTACAGCTCCTAGGTATCCTGTATCTTTATAAGCCCTGTCACATTTTCTGTGTAAATATGAGTTTGTTTAACCGAATATTATTGAAATAAGAACTATGGAATAATTACAGGCTTAGTGCTTAAATGTAGAGAATTAATGCATCTCTACCATTAAAACTAATTCTTAATATTTTCACTTGAACTGCTCAATGTTAAATTACAGCTATCTCAAAAAACGCTAATCAAGAAATCGATATGCACTAATAGGGCTAAAACTAGTAGACAAAGACCTCATAGACTGTTTTTTGATATTGATCAGACTACGCAGTCTTTTTACAGTCTACTTCTATAATAACTGTCACAACACTTAGGGATAGGTAGTGGTTGATCAACCTTAATTGACGAAAGTTTACAAACTCACCGATTTATTAGTTTTAGCAAATATCCTCAGCTGACCTATAATTGTGTCGAGTTGATAAGATGGCATTAATAAAGTCGTGAATGAGAATGCATTCGAAACAGGCACATAATGTGAGCGAACTTATATTCGTCAAACATGACAAACTTTTTAACACTAATATCACTGATAAAATATGTCAATAAGATCGTTGTCCAATCTACCATGAATGATTAAACATTTGCAACAATAAACAAAGATCAGTCTAAAGATTAAATTGTAAAGAAAATCTGTGAAAAGAATAAGGAACTATAACCTCTGAATAAGATTAATCGCGCGAGAATAGTAGGCAAACCACAGAAAAATTCTAAACAGTTTATCCAGAACTATGAGTATCAGAAAACTTTCAAGAAATTTGAACGGTTCATGTTTCGGGTCTTTTAACAAGTCTATTTATTTTTATATCATTAAGTAACTAGTTCTAGGAAATTATAGAAATCGTCTTTTTTTATATACACAGGCTATGTCTCTTGGAGTTCCGGTCGTGGTGAGAGAAAACCCAGGTAACTGTGATCTTATCAAACATGGGAAAAATGGGTTGGTATTCAGAACATCCAAGGTAAGTATTAAGTGCAATTAGTATCTACGACAATCACTTATTTTCAAAGTGTTCATCCTAAGTGAAAAATCTTCTACCCTCATTAAATTACAAATCGTTGTGATGCCATAGTAGTATGATTGATTGTGAGAAAGACTAAATATTAAGGAAGACTGAAAGGAAAGGATGAATTCCAAATGCCAAGTAGTGTTAAAGCTGAAGACATACAGATGCAACTAGATGATTTGGACTTCGCAAATGACCTACATCCTCTATCACACACACACCAACAAATGCAGGTGAAGATAACCAGTGTAGCAACTGTCTCTGTATCAACAGGACTCAACATACACAAGTGAAAAACCAAGATACTCAAATACAACACACAGAACACCAACAAAATCAATCACACTTGATGGAGGAACTCGAGAACAGGTGGAAACTTCCACCTACCTGGACAGTATCGTCGATGAACAAGGAGGATCCGATCACACGTAAAGGCAAGGATTGGCAAACACAACAACAGGACTCCTACAGTCGAAGAACAAATGGGACTCAAAACAACTGTCAACCAATATCAAAGTCAGAATCTTCAATACGAACGTCAACACAGTCCTACTGTACGGAGCTGAAACTTGGACAACTACTACAACTATCGTCAAGAATGTACAAGTATTTATAAATACTTGTCTACTGAAGATGCTCAATGTTCGTTGGCCGGATTCCATCATCAACGGTCTATTGTGGGAGAGAACAAACCAGCTTCCAGCTGGAAAGGAAATTAGGAAAAGATGTTGGAGGTGGACAGGACACACATTGAGTAGATCGTTAAACTGCATCACGAGGGAAACGTTGACTTGGAATGTTGAAGGTAAACGGGAAGGAGGAAGACTAGGGAACACACTGCGTTGGGAATTGGAGTTAGACATGAAAATGATGAATAGCAGCTGGGAAGGATATTCCAGGACAGAATTAGATGTAGAATGCTTGTGAGTGGCCTACGCTCGTCTATGAACTGTAACAGGCGTAAGTGAATATTTAGAGAATGAAATAAAAAAATTGTTCTCTACACGAACAGATTCTGAGCCATATCACCCAACCTCTTCAACTACCAGTTAAGATAATCGCTATGACTCCAACCTGGCGGTCTGCACCTCCTAGTGCGACCCAGTTCAGCAAACGGTGACTTCATGAACAGATATCATGTCTTGGTTTGAACGTGCGTAGTTTTCTCTCAACTTATTCCTCCTGTAGCCAACATTGTGAGTCGATGTGTTTACTTATTAATGTAATTGTTCCCTCTTTTGGCGAATAAGTGCTCCAGATTTTATCCTAACAGTGACGCCAAGTGATGTATAAATCTAGTATCTCAGCCAGAATCAACATAGCAACGAATTATATGACATACCAAGTAATTATAGATGATTTAAAAAAACTAACTTCAATATTTAAATGTAGGACTTCCAGAAGCTATCTGCCATGGAAAGGATTTAAGACTTTCCCTGCAATAGGTAGTTTTTATTAGATTAATAGCAATGTTCTTCCTTCTCGTTAATTTAAAATGACAAACTTATGTATGATTCTTATCGTTTTAAATTATTTCCAATACCGCAACGACTCTATATGCTAATTAATATGTATCAAGAAAATTCTTGTCACTGTACACAAAAGCGGTAAAATAATCCCAAACACTTCTATAGGTTTCAGACTATGTGGGATTAATCAGTGTTCTTCATCTTATTATGGAAACGGTGACAGCAATAATCGTCGATGGTTGATGATTCATCGCACTTATTTTATGAGACATGTACATCTACGAAGTGCTGATGTTACCGATTCTTAAACTAATTCTCATCAATGGCTCCAGGACAACACTGGACCATCATACACATTCCCGAATCTGTCAAATAATCAACCAGATACTTTATAGTGACCCGCTGATAACTGATCTCATAAATCTAACATAGTCTTTCGAAGCATTACAAGTACGACTATTTGTAGTACATTGTGTGACATCCAATACTTGTGAATGATCTTTCTTTCCAAGCTGAACCATACAAATAGTTTCTTTATCACAGGTCGATATTTCTAGACCAATAGCTTGATATTCTATTAAAAACGAAATCACATGAATAACTAGGATTTTCATCCAAGTAACGGAAATATTCAGCAACCCATCAATGACGCATGTGACACGGAATGCACTCAATTTGAACCAAGACTTTGAAACATACATATATATTTCAGTAAATTTAGAGAGTAATCGTTAGTTTTCAACAGGTGTTTAGTTAGAGTTACTTCATTTCATTAATTAATGGTCAAAAATATCGTGTACTACTAATAGTAAACAAACAACATAAAACTTATAACTTCTCATGGAAACCATACTTTAAAATCCTGCCACAAGTAAATTAGTTATAAGTTTTATCTTCTAACTCTGAATTTGTAAATCGGTAAGCGTATCTGCTTTTTTAAAACCGCTTAAACTTCCAACAACCATTTGAATTACTTCCAGCTATTCTACCATATCGCTTATCTAATTATGATAGGAAAAATGGTTGGTGGTGTTCCACTCCAGAAATTAATCCAATGTAAACATGTGGTCACAAATTTTAACAGTAGGATGAAGCTAGTCAACTTGTACAGAAATACCTACCTCAATATGGATGAGATCGTTTTGATTAATTATTAGCCTCGTATATGGTAAAATGTTTAAAAAGTATACATGATTATATCCATTTTACAAAGCTTCACTTTAGAGATACTTAATGAATTTTGGTTGTTAAATTCAATTGAATTTGTATTCATTTACACAAAATAAAGGGTCTGTTTTATGTATTCAGGAGCTGGGAGAATGTCTAACTTATCTAGAAGAAAATCCTGAAATAAAGAAACAACTAATTTTCGCAGGGGAAGAGTTTATGGGAGGCAAAGAATTCCAAAGAGGATATCAAGCGAAATTATATTCACACGTAATCCAACATAATATATTCGGTGTATAATCAACATATACAGCAGTCGAGTGCATAACAAACAATATCAGTGACATTTTTCTTTAAATTTCATTATAACCGATAACCAAAAGTATATAATTTCGATTACAAAGTAACAATAAAGCTTTTCACTGAAGTATTGTTCACTATAATATAAAATAATAAAATCTAATTTCGTCAATTTTAAACGTTAGGAAGATGGGGGATTCGAATATGGTAAGATTCCAATAAGACAAAGATCACACTTTTCACCAGATCTATAGGGATATATAAATATTACTTTACATAAAAATAAGAACACAGTAGTCCGAGTATGGCTAACATCTATGTCGTACCTTTGTAGTTGTGCTATTAAACAAGTTTTATGGAATAAGACAGAATCAAATTTGTTCAGTACACATTACCACTTATGATATTCCTTTTAAACTAGGCATAAAAAGGATTGTTCATGAAGAACAGTATACGAGTACTAAGACAAATAATTTTTCTGGTTTTCCTAAGCTCTAATAGAGAGTAACTATTAGTTGGGCATTCAAGGAGCGTCTCAATTACTAACATGAACAAATCCACTAATAGTGAATTAAACTGAATGTTCAATTCTGACTAGCGAAATAAGAATTAAATCTAAATTTAGAAGAATGATAAGTGAGATCTTTCGGTAAACTCCACATAACCTATTGTTTATTTCGCGTAGATATCTACGAAACTGACTGATTTTAATAACCTGCGGTGGTAACTTACAAGCAGTAATTTCATAATTTCTTGGAGTTAAAAGCATTCCAAATACAATAATGATTGTCGCTTGAAAAAAATATTCTAAGCTTTATAAGCCTACAAAATCGAAGAAAATGCGTATACAACAATTCTCAATCATCACTGATAGTTGTTCCTTTAATGACAATCAAATTACAATTTCCAGTGTAATATAAAATAATTGCAAAATATATGCATTATTCCCGATAAGTGATTCTAAAGACGTTTTTAATTTTAGCTGTTTAAAAATTGCCGACAAAAACTTGGTACGCAAAACGAAACTGACTAAGTAGCACTTACAATTCCCATCACAAACTTAGTTCGGCAAGAATTCAAATCACATACATGTATATTATCGGCATTTTATTAGATCAAGCAGTTCCTATATATGTGAAGAAATATATCAGCATGAACAAATGAGAGGAAATAAGAACAAGAAGCCGCTGCCTTGACATATGAAATCAAAAGAAACAATGACGAACCAAATTACGGGCGAAGGCAGGAAATACGATCAAACAGATGTACAACATTCATTACTTGCACAATAAACAAAAAATACCTCATTTATACAACATACACAAGATAAATGTTCATTTAAACGAACGCAAATCAGAGTAAAATGATTAAAATATTCATATGAAAAAATCAAAGATTTACAAGATTTCAAATTGAAACAAAGTCGTTTAGGCATACTGAAACTGCCTGCAGTAATTTTACATGTAACTTGAAAGTGATGACAAAACGACCGGGATCAATAGTTTTGGAATATTAATATCAATATGAAATGCAAAGGGTTAAAGAAATTAAATATAGTAATGAATATGAGATGACTGATTTATTAAAATGTTGAACAGCAGTTCACGCCAATACATGATTGGCATTTATATGAATATACTTTGATATATAATTAGGAAATAATTCGTTGTACAGCTAAAAAGTATTAACTGGACTGTTGTCCAATAAAAACTGATTACCGGATATTATGGTACATTTGAAAACCGGCAATCTACTGGAGCACCAAGATAATGAGGTATGTTGATAAAAGAATAGAAGAAACACAAGCAAGATACATACATGAATCAATAACAATTTAAGTGAATTCTCTGTGGAAGGCTTGATAACCATAACATAGTATGTTCGTAGTTTATTTACAAAATTTAAAATGTTACTTAAGATGAAAAATATGACATTGGTTTAGATAAACTTAATGTATCAAAATAAGAATCTGTACAAAAATGCTTAGATAAACTGGGTCTGGGGATAGTGAACTCTGAGATTATTGAACGAGAATAAGATAATATGAAAACCCAGGTCACAAAAAAATCACCATTAACTGAAAATGATTGGATTTAATATCAGAAAAGATTGTAAGTGATCCGTGTTTATGTATACATTGTAGTATCAAATAGTTGGATAATCTGCTTCATATTAATATCAACATACAGCCCCGTTATTGTTTGTTGATGAGCGATCGTTGTTTGAGTTCATTTTTTGTGAAGCACAACCCACTTTAGTTAGATCTAATTGAGCTTGCAAACTATCTCTGATGCGCAGTAGGGTTTGTTCGACATTGTCGAAATGACCAGTAACGACATCAGGATAAAAGAAAAAGCCTTCATTTTTATAATACTTTGAGGGATGTTTAGAGATTGTGCAAAACTTCTTTGTATTTAAGTAAGGCTGACTGGAAACCCGGTGATGCCATGGAGAAGTGTTACGTTTTTCTCGTTCATAAGATCGCGTTTCTTGCCACACACGTATCTCGTTATCGCGTTGTATGAAGTATTCCAATGACCCAGATAGATGAGTTGGATTATCTTCTGGATTCTTCTCGATATCATACGACGGAGCAACCGGACTGTTTGAAGACGCTGGATGTCCGGAGAATGAAGGAATAGGAGGAGGAGGTGGGGGCGGTGGAGTCCCTGTGGAAATCACCAAACCATACAGATGTTGAGAATCATCTAAGTTAAATGTTTTCTTATAGTAATGAGCCAGTCTATCAAAATGTACTTGTTTAGTAGAAACTGGTATATTAACTGAAGGCTTGTGATCTACAACTTCGGACCCAATACGATCCTACAAATACAAAAGCATACCATAAATTTTAAAAGATTCAACGTAAGATAACTAGGGTTCAATATGCTGAAAATCCTAAATAATTGTCAAAACAACTAAAGGAACACATAATCACTACAACTACAAAATTAAAGTAATTAATGAGTTTTATATGTGAAGAGTCTATAAATCAGTTAAATATCGTGTAAAACAAATGCCCTGGTATGGCCGAGAGTGGGGTGTGTTCGCCCTCCCTCTCGAAATACTCTCACACAGCCACGCGTATACAGCCTCTGCCATGGAAGTCCTACTCACTGCCTTCTCGTGGCAGGGGTGTTGTTCACGAAAATGAGAGGACGAAAAGCGAATGTCCGGCGCTTTAACCGGATTCCAAACCAATGGTGCACATGGGCTCCAGTATCCTGCGGGAACAAATGGCGTATGAATTGATTTCCGGTCACCGGCTAACATAGGACTTCATCTCCTCACAATGCTCCACTGCCTTGTGGGTTAGACCATTAGGTCAAAGGCTCGGGGAGTGGCCCCCTAAGATAACCACCTGCTTCGGTTTGTGCACCCGGGCAGTATCACAGCCCACACACAATTAATGAACTGAACTGTCTATGATCATGGAAACTAATTCTCTTGCTCCGACGAACATTCAAATGATTCTATTATTATTATTATTATTATTATTATTATTATTATTATTATTATTATTATTATTATTATTATTATTTACTACATCATTATTCACCCTCTTTTATTCCTACTCTGTCTATACTTATTTTTTGTTCGACTTATACAGCAGCTCGTCTTTGGTGGAAATTCGACTCTATCTAAACGTTCTTGAGTCACTGTCCGGTTGAAAATTGTATGTTACCACCGAATACGAGGACTGAAGCAGTTTTTCTAAAACCACCTGCACCATTCAAACTGGCTGCCTTAAACGTTCGTACATTTATGCAGGTTGGACAACAGGTAGGACTGGCTATGTCTTTAGAAAGTCTTAATATTGATGTTTGTTGTCTATCCGAGACCCGTATTCAAGACTCTGGTGAAGTACTACAAAATCGATCTCCATCTGTCACTTCAAAAAACTTGTTCTGCGTGCGCTTATCCGGGGACCCTGTGGCATCTTCGTCTGGTCTTGCTGGCGTTGGTGTCGCACTAAGCGCTAGATCTGAGGCAGCACTAATCGACTGAATCCCCATTAACAGTCGGTTATGTGATGTTAGATTAGAAAGTTCCATCAAAGTGAGAAGAAATCGGCGTGAGAAACGATGTCTTTTCGTCATCTCCGCCTATGCCCCGACAGATTGCAGCCCGGATGCAATCAAGGATGAGTTTTACCACCAGTTATCTGTTCTTCTCCAGAAAGTGCGTTCGACAGATATTGTAGTACTAGCCGGAGACTTGAATGCTCAGGTCGGGTGTCTAGGCACAGAAGAGAGTCGTTTAGGTGGCCGATGGGGACTTGTTGATGGCAGGACATATAACGTGGACCGTCTACTGCAACTATGCACAGACCACAACCTGTTTTTGGCTAGCACTAACTTTCGGCAGTCATCGCCGATGTGCCACCTGGCGTCCTCCTCTGCATCTCAAGCCTGGACTCAGATTGATCACATCGCGATCAGCTACCGCTGGCGTGGTTGTGTACAAGACTGCCGCTCCTTTCGGAGTACCTATCTGGACTCTGACCATGCCTTGGTCTGTGCCAATCTTGCCTTACTTTTCAGTGGACAACGAAGTGACCGCCACCAACGGATTGATGTCAGCAAGTTGGTTGCAACTTCTGTTGGAAGTGAGTATCGAAATCAGCTAGCTTCTAGGCTAGCTACTATTCCACCGTAAAGTATAGATGAGCATTGGTTGCAATTGCACGACGCCATGAAAATGGCGGGTACAGTCAGTTGTGGGGTTTGCGAAACGTCCCGCTTATAAGCACTGGCTTTCCTCAGGTTCCTTACAACTCATTGAAGCCCGTCGGTCTACTCCGAATAACTGTGAGTTTGACCACAAACGAAGGTTGTTACGTAGCGAAATTGGGCAAAGCTTGCGTAAGGACCGAGAAGCCTGGTGGTCGGAGCGTGCTAATGAGCCGGAAGCAGCAGCTGCATCTGGTAATTACCGGAAGCTCTTCCAACTCATCCGAGCCACTGGCAGCAAAAAGTCTGGTGTGAGCGAAACAATCTGCGAGGATGATGGAATGCCAATCACTAACATCCATCGACGTCTTGGACGATGAGCAGAATCCGTCGAAGGGCAGTTCAACTGGCCTGCTGCGCCGGCAACATCGGTCAGATTGTCCTGCCCTCCATGGCCGGTGACGACTGATCCACCAAATGAGGAGGAAGTCCGTAAGGAACTCCAACTCTTGAAGCGTTACAAATCACCTGGCCCACATGACTTACCTCCAGCTCTTTTTAAAGATGGTGGTGACTCTTAATAAGGAATTGACGACGTTGTTTACAAAGGTTTAGGAACTAGAGAGTGTACCAACGTCATGGAATGAGTCGATAGTTGTCCCTATCTTTAAAAAAGGTTCACGTCGTTCCTGTAAGTCTACTTCCGATTGCGTCCAAGCTATTGGCTTCCATCATACTTAGTAGGTTGTTCAAAACCCGAGAAAGACTGACTCGCGAGGAGCAGGCTGGTTTTTGTTCTGGTCAAATCAAATCTTCACCCTCCACCAAATGTTAGAACACCGTCATACTTATCACAGGCCAACAATCGTAGTGTTTCTTGACATCAGGGCTGCCTTCGAATCGTTGGATAGGACTGTTCTCTGGGATTGTCTATTGTAGGAGGGTGTGCCTGAGAAGTTTATTAACATCTTAAAGGCCCTATATACAAACACCTCAGGCAGAGTGAGGGCATACAACCACCTTTCTCCATTGTTCCATTCGAGCAGTGGGGTTAGACAGGGTTGCCCAATCTCATCACTCCTCTTCAACTTTGCCATCGATGACATTTTGGAAACAGCTCTGATGGATGTAAGTAATGGTGATGTGGATCTGTTGCCTGGAGAAAGACTTCTCGACCTTGAGTATGCGGATGATATTGTCTTACTGTGCGATAATGCCCAAGTCATGCAATCCACACTTAATCAGTTGGCAATCAGTGTCCGTAGGTATGGTATGTGCTTTGCACCTTCTAAGTGCAAAGTACTTCTACAAGACTGACAGGATTCTAATCCTCTACTCACTCTGAATGGTGAGCAGATAGAAGTAGTCGAGAAGTTCGTGTATCTGGGTAGCTGCATAAGTGCTGGTGGGAGTGTGAGTAATGATATCAACACACGTATAGTGAAAGCCAGAGCGTCTTACGCCAATCTGGGCCACCTTTGGCGCCATCGTGATGTTACTCTGGCTGTAAAAGGTCGGATCTACAACGCGTCGGTGAGAGCAGTTTTGCTCTATGCTTGTGAAACCTGGCCTCTCTTAGTTGACGGTGTTAGACGACTCTCTGTGTTCGATCATCGCTGTCTCCGAAGGATTGCTGACATCCAGTGGCAACACCATGTTAGTAATGCAGAGGTTCGGCATCGTGTGTTCGGGCACAGAGACGATAATGCAATCGATGTCACCATTTTGAAACACCGACTTCGGTGACGTGGACATGTTCTACGAATGTCGTCCCAGAGAATTCCACGTCATGCATTATTTGCCGACTCTGGGACTGGTTGGAAAAAGCGGAGAGGTGGTCAGTATATGACATGGTGTCGTGGTATGAAAGAAAGCTGCAAAGGACTGGCTTCTGTCGGTCCTTCACGACTCCCTGGTTGGGATTCAAGAGATGGTGCAACACAGTGGCTAGAGACGTTATCAGATATGGCTCAGATTAGAAGCCAGTGGCGATCCTGCTGTAACCTTCTTTTACTTTATTTATAAAAGTAGTTGTTTCTTCCTTAACTGAAAGATTTGTTCTGATTGTACCTTTTCGTTTCCCCCATTATGACTATGATTATTACTATACTCCCTTAAACCAATCTCTTTATTATTGTTTTTTTTACGTTCCTCTTTTTTTCTTCTTAAATTCTCATTGTTTTGTGTGGCGCATATATATTTGGCGCACTCCTGTACCAATATATATGTGTTCAAATAAATAAATAAATAGTTTTTAAAATTATTTCATAGTAAAAATAAAAGATAAGATTCATCCTTCTGTGTACCAAATAACAAGACCTCATAGTCACTTAATTGTCAATTGAGTTACTCCATTAAATATAAATTAATGCTAAATACTTAGTCGTTTTAATAAAACTAGATAACGTAATAACAATATGAAGTTTATCTAGTTGATCTGTGTTTCTAAATCGTATATACCTTAGCAGGTTAATACGTATTCAAACTGTTCAAAACGTATTGCATTAATACATCACAGGTATTTGTCTTCATGCTGCATAACCTACTTTTACTTGAAAAAAGGAACCAAATAAACTCAAAAACAGTCAACTCACTTGATCGTACTCCTTAGCATGATCGATGTCATGTAAAAGATTTTCACGATTAATTTGTTTCGAAGAAGCAATCATGTTAGCCTGGAAGCACGAATCAGAAAATTTGCTAGAATTCACATCTGGAGGTGAACTGTTCCTGAAAGGTAGCTTTTCTGAGGCTATACGAGAGTCCGAGAATGTAGATGTTGGTGAGCTGTGAGAAGAAAGCACTTTACCAGGAAATCTTATGAACGGTTCAGGAGAACTACTAAGAGCACCTCTACTAACGGGATTTATAGAATCGACCCCGATATCTTCATCATCGTCATCATCTGGTGGCTCGCTTGGTGTTCGAGGTCCACGTTCACTTACTTTTGCATCAATAAAATCACGTTCGTTATCGAATTCACATCTTTTTGGTGTATTTGTGTAAGGTGATAGGGGTTGATTGTAATCATGAAGAACCTCAGGTTTCATATTCAATGTTGTAATTTTTTGCAGTAATCCATCAGAACTTTTTACGTCAGAGGATGGCCTTGACTCATTGTGAAGATTTGGGAGCGTTATTAGAAGTCGGTCAGGACTAATCAGAGTTGGTGGGATTATAATTTCTAAATTATCAATATTACCGTTTGATTGATCTAGCGGCTCTTTCGTCTGCTTATGATTTCGTTCCGTAGCGGGTGTGAGGGCTGGCAGACCACGACGTCGACGATATTCAGAGAGGGAAACACGAACTTTACGTATCTCTTGCAATCGCAACTCTTCAGCTTGTTGCTTTACTGTAGCTTTCTTCGGAGGAAGCTACCAAGTAAGAGAAATGTATTAAAAATCTAATCAACTGAACATAAACAAAGTAGAATTCTTCAGATTTTGATTTGATGTTCACCGGTCACAATGAAAAAAAATCATTATTCTATGACTGAGATTTGATAAAAATATCCACAACTACTGGCCCTTACGAGCCGACACGCGATACTTTTTATCTGTAAATTGTTTCCGTAACAAAGTTAGCAAGTATGTTACTACTACTGTTTTTTTAAGTCATGGAGAACTGTGTTGACGCGACATATCACAGCTACTTACTATATAAAATATATCTACTGTTTTTTGACTAAGATATAGATGAATTTTCAGCACTGGGACAATGGAGTAAATTTTCATCATAAGCTGTTAAAACGTATGCAGTAATGTACGTTAAGTAATAAGAAGAAAAATGTATACACGTTAGGTTTCACATTCTTTAAATCCAGAAACAAATAAATATATGCGCAGACCGACTACTCATAGACCTTCAAAGTAGAGGTTAATCAAGTATATATTATTTTACTAATGGTTGTGTGCCTTGGACAAACTGTTAGCACCTGAAAAAACTGAAAGACAGACTTAAGATACAGAATATTAATATAAGTGTATGTCCTGATACGGGCGAGGGTGGGAAGAGTCACCTCTCCCTCTCGAAATGCCCTCACATGGCCACACATATACAGCCATTGCCATGGAATTTCTACACACTGCCTTCTCGTGGCGGGGGTGTAGTTTATGGAATTGAGAGAACGAAAGGCGGATGTCCGGCGCTTTAACATAGTCGGTCGACACAGAGGGTCCACCTAGGAAAGTTGGGAAATCCTGATTCCAAATAAATGGTGCACATGGGCTCCAGTATCATGAAGGACAAATGGCGTATTAACCAATTATTGGTCACCGACTACCATGGGACTGCATCTCCTGACGTTGGTCCACTGCCTTGTGGACCAGACCTTTAGGTCGAAGGCTCCAGGCGTGGCACCCTAAGGAAACCACCTGATTCGGTCTGGGCACCCGGACAGTATCACAGCCCACACACACATTAAGTGACTTGTGTGGCGCATATGTATTCGGTGTCGCTTTGTACCAATATTTATGTGTTCAAATAAAATTTTAAAAAATATTTGGTGTAACAATTTTTCTTATTCTACGCAACGAGCTTCAAAAAAGAAACTTACAGGAGCCAGATGAGTTGATAGACCATCGCAAAACTCAGGATCTTCTTGTGACTCTGAAATAACTTTAGATTCTGGATTGCAAACCACCTGTTCATCATCTGGATTGTTCGCTAAACGATCAGACAAAATTGTGACGCTTTCTTTTTTGAGATTATCATCGCTTTCGAAATACGTACAAATAGGTAGGTCTTCAGAGATCCCGGAAAGTCGGGAGATAATCCTCTTTTTCGGATTAACTGGCGTAGCACATGAATTTTGCATGACTAAAGATGAATCTGATTTAGTGGATAGTGAATGATTAATTGAGTGGGAACAGTTTGAAAAATTATTGTTAGATAATTCGACATCTTCCTCCATTAGAGCCTAAAACAGTATAATCAAAACCGGTGAAAATAAATCGAAGACGTGATTCGATAAGAAGGCATTTTCCAAAACAAAACACTTATTCTCTATTAGCTCATGTTTTTTCCACTAATGAAGCTGTTGCTCAGTGCTTCTGGTATTCAGTTTCCATCAATTAGATTATGTGTTTGAGATCAGCTCCGTTTACTAAGATTTAAGCGGATAATAGATTATAAGATATTAAACCCCAAGTATAGTTTGCAGCCAAATGGGCTTTTCGTATACACGTCGAGTCTCTTCAGTCACTAGTACACTGACTAATATAACACATTATCGCTCAAAATGTTTATAAAACAGGGTTTTTTTAGTGCATTTACCACACAAACCTGTAGTCTGTGTACTACATGTCGACGAAAGACTTCATGCGATTGGTTAATTCATCACGACAGAACAAAACGAAGTTTGAATTAATAAAATCTGATTTAAAACAACATACCATAGACAATAAGTATCCTCAGAATTTCGGTACACATTATTTATGCAGAAGAGGAAGCTAATGATTTGACCACAGGATAATGATGAACTCCGATATTACTGAAAGTGTGGATGATCGACACTCCTAGAATGTTTAAGTGAGAAGCCTAAGGAACAACTGCCTGATTTCAGTCGCACACAATTCCTAACAAACACTTTTCCAGTTCCGTAGTGTGAAATTTACATTTTAGATGTTAACATCCACAGTGAAAATTCACAAAGCCAATAGGTGTTAATTTTAGCCTTCATATTTTCAAACCTCTTCTTTCATTTGAAAGAAAGCCAAGCTGGCATTCAGCAAGGTTAATAATACGAATGTTGAAATGATGACTTGGACAGAATATTACTATTTAAAAAATAGAGAAATCTAACATTAAAGAAAGTCAAAACCGAGATCAAGATCGTTTCAGCTTTTTTTAAACAAACTGAAACTCAATGATGATCACATTACATTTATTCTCTCACCTAAAGCTTAAAAGAATGTTACAACTAAGGATAAAAAGGTTGACTAAATTACTAAGCGTGACTTTATTTTCAAGACATTCGAAATTCAGCAATAACACTTGTACACTGAAAATTCCCTTGAAATTTTAGATTAACATACCCGAGATAACCACCGTTTCTTTGTAGGTCTAGGAGTTTGGTGCAGAAATGGTTGCGTCAAACAAGATGTTGACATATCGTCAACAGATGTATAAACATCTTGTCGAGTGTCGGTTACTGTTTTTCCAGATATTTCATCATGAATTGTTGATAACAAGGAATGCATATCAAGTGAACGAGTCCTGCTAAATTTAGCCATTGGATCTTTTTCTCGTGTTCTATAAACTATAAAACCACAATCAGCTTCAGAATCGAGAGCTTGTTGATTACTATTGATCTGATTAGATGATTCATTACCACTCGTAAAAACTGCCGTATCACAACCAGAGGCGATACTGAATTTAGACAAACTGGGTGATAAATGCTGAAGACAACTATTTGGGTTACGATCATTTTTTGATGATTCACTTTTAACACCCAAAGCTTCAAAAAGTGTAATTCTCATATTTGATCCATCTTTAATATGATTACCCGATGACATATGACTTTTATCAGACATATTCTCCATGTCTGAAGTGAGTTGTGATACTTCCTGATGATCATTTAATTCAGCGATACGTCGAAGTTGCATTTGAAGCCAACGGTCTTCGCGTGAACCACCTTGATCAACGGATGACAGGCTATCAGATAACATAGCTGCTTGGGAACGCCGGCGTCTCTGTTTGTGACTGACAGAACAGCGTTTTTGGTACTTAAACTTGGACCCAGTGAATTGTTTTAACTGCTTTCTTTGAAAACATGTATCGCTTTCTTCCGAAATATCTTGATTACAAGCCTTGGATGGAGATATACTTCTATTTTGTTTGATATTTTGTGATAAACCAGAACAATGATTTGATTCACAATCAAACAGCTCAGGCTTTTCAAAAATGTCTGTAGGTTCTACATGATCAGAGTGGGTCTCATCGGTGATAACATCTTTAATATCTTTATCACATTCTAATGCTTTTGAGTTAATATCAGAACTTCCACCAGTCTCCATTGCACCATCTGTTGACTTAACATCGTTATTGTCTGAAACTGAGTCAGGTTCAGGAGATTTTTCAGGGGGAGAAAACTGGTTTGAGTCATTTCTAGTGCAATCAGTGTTTTGACTATTTTTTAAACTGATCGAAGACACGCGTTGCTTTAATCGTTTTTTTTCCATACGCTCTATGCGACGTAATACTTCAGCCATCCATACATCTTCCTTTGATTTCTAAATAATAAGATACATGATTTTATAATTTTAGACAGCAACTTTAACAAATGAATATATATGATGAATCTGAAAACATCAACAGTTATAAAAATAGTATAAGTAATAACATCTGATACAATCTGAAAACCGAATCATAATGATCGTGCAATAAATTCCCGTTTTGGTAGTAACTATTCCATTTTACGGATACCAAAAAAGTCAATTAGTATACTTAATTTATCATTCAGAAAGTAATTCAAATTGTTTGCCTGTTGTAATATTCTTATGAAAGTACACGAAATCTCATAAAAAGATTCCTTTTCAAAATTGTCGAACGCGTTGACAACTTCACTTATTTTGGAAGTGTGATCATCCCTAATGAGTTGGTGTCTGACGAAATCTCTCCACGGATTCAGAAAGCTCGTTTGGCTTTTGCCAACTTACGTCACCTATGGCGAAGGGGAGATACTCATCTATCAATTAAGAGACGAGTATACTGCGCGGTAGTTCACTCTTTTCAACTTTACAGATGCGAAACGTGAAGATTAAGAGTAGAAGATACTAGTAAGCTACTAGTATTTGACCACAGATGCCTTAGAAATGTTGCTCGCATCTGCTGGGATCACCGGGTAAGTAAAAGTGATGTTAGACACAGGGCATCAGGGAATGATGGTAAATCAGTTGATTAGGCTGTGAATCTTCATCGACTGAGATAGTTGGACCGTGTTACGTATGCCTGAACACTGATTACCACGACGTGCAATGCTAACCGGTGTTGGGGATGATTGGGAGAAAGTTAGTGGCAGCCAATATAAAACGTGGCATCAGTCCTTGAAGTCACTAACTTCTGCTCTGAGGTATGTTGGTAGATGCAGACGACTTGTTTGGGGTCCGCGTGATTATGGTTGACAATGGTTGGAGACTGGGTGTTATGGCACAGAGTCGATCACAGTGGCGTCAGTGTATATACTCTTTGTTTTTAAACTGTGTGATCAAAATTAATTAATTTCTTTCTTTCTATGAACTAATTCTTTCTTCCTGTATCATATCCTTTTATGAAATTTTCTTTTACTATTAATGAAGTAACTGCTCCTATGAATTTGGTGTTTTTCTTGTTGTGCTGATGAGGTATGGAAATCTCGAATGATGCATATATGTGCCTGGTCCTACATTGTAGCTGACTGACTGACAAGAACAGATATTTTGAAGGTGATAACGTGGATACAAAGCACTAAACTGAACTGAATAGCATTCCGTTTACCTTCGTTTAGAAAGCGAAGACTCTAATCTAATGAGTACAAGCTTTATATGAAATGTAATCATATATTAACTAAAATTATCATTAGAATACAACTGGTATGTATTTTACACGCTATCCCGTAGTAAGGTTCTAAGGTCAATAGATCAAGATAGTCAATTATGGTACTCAATAGCCTCTGATATTTACACTCAAAATATGAATTATTACTTTTCATACAGGAGCTTGCGTAGAATCGTGTACACACCAATAAGCATCAGCGTGAAGTGACAGGTTTAGTGAGTAAATATAAACTTCCGACTAGATTCAGGGTTGTTGAGAACAACCTTTGAGAATCTCGTGTTTCTATAAGTCAAGTCAGAGAATACATATGTCATGACCAGGCTATATTGTAGTATAGTAGAGACAATTAAGTTAGCTACAATGAAGATGATGATTTAATTTTCGATGACGAAATAAACAGAAAAAGTTGAACCACAACGACTAACCTTGTCTTCTTTTTCTTCAAGTGAAGTACTTCTTTTGCGTGATTTAGAAACATGATCATCGAAGGTGCTCATCTGTGAACGCCGTTTTCCACGGTCAACAAGTGATGATGAATCAGCCTGAGGCAAAAGATAAAGTTTTAACCAATTGACATCCCACAATAAATTAATTAATAAGGGTACTTGGGGACGAAGTGCTTGGTGAGACGTCAAGGATACCACTCCCTGGAGAATTCAACACTGGTTATTGGAAAATGAGTACATTAACTAGACTCTTTTTCTTCAGTTACGTGAAATTCATATAGTTACGATATGTAATCATCAACCAATATTTTTTACTACGAAAAATCAGTGATTGTGGACGTTAAGTAAAGATGAGGTGAATATAAAAGTTAAATACTCTCTAGGTTATAGTACCTTATCACGAAAGATATATGTGGTGCCACTGAAATAGCTGAAAACTAAATGAGTATATCTGAACCTGGATCATATGTTGACTTCAATTTCAACCCTACGAGGGCAGATAAAGAAGTTTTATGAAAACAATTCTACTATAAAACGACAGACACCTTCCCCAAATATACGAAATAAGATTAATTAGTTTCTGGGTTCCATAAAACGAAATGGTTAACATGTGTTGCCAATATTTAACCACCGCAGCCTGACGACTGTATGAGTGAATTTTGGTTACGCTGATAAATAATGTTTGGATTCCAATTTGATGTTTAGTATGCGTGGTCCGGTCTGATGTACTGTCTGCGTTTGTTAGACCTTTTAATAAGTGTCCCCACCTCTTGGATTATATTACAGTTAATGACCGATTATGGTCAGTTTTATAAAATAATCCAGTTTACACAGAAATTAATTGCATTTCGTATTTACAATAATGAGAATAATGTTCAAAACCAAAAGGATGTGATGACTATCCCGATTTTCAGTCTAAAAACTGTCTGTTTACGAAGACGGTATCCAGATTTTATGAACCTTGATTACAGATTTAATAAACTCGACATCATGTTAAAGTTCTGTGCATGTAATAACAGCAATAAACCTGGGTGAATAGTAATAATCAACTAAAAAATGAATAATTTTTAAAAATGTTGTTTAGGAAAAGCACTTACAGATTTGCGCTTAAAAATATGACTTTCGTGTATTTCAGCTTTTACATGATCCAGATCAGGTGATCTAGGAGAATTATTTGAGGTATAAGACTCTTTTGTTTCTTTAGAATTAAGACGGTCCTGACGGGAGTTAGACTGTATATATTTTCGACATATTGATCTATCTGTTAACTTTTCTGGTTGTACTTCATATTCCGGTTCAGTGTCAGCATCTAAATCCTCTCCCAATAACTCATTATTCGACTTACAGCCGATATCCGTGTTATTAGTGACTTCTCCTTGATTTTCTATGTTGGATGACTTTTGTGGAGAGTCACTTGCTTTAACAGGAACCGATCGTAATCTATCTAAACATTCCATTTCGCAAGAGAAACCATTTCTACTAGGAAAGTTATGCGAATCTCTTTTCTTATCTACATTTACAATACTATCACTAGGTGATGACACTGGATGTTGACCACTGTGAGAACAGGAATTACGTTGTGAACGACGTTTTTTGGCAGTTGACAAGGATTTAGAATGGGACTTCCCAAGGTACACCATTCTGGAAGACAGTCGCTCTGTTTCACGTTTGCTACGCACTCCAAGAGAACTAGAACTTCTTAATCGCCCCCGTCCACGACCTCTCCGATGAACAGCATTACGAACTCCACATGAAATGCCTGATTTATTTAAGTAACCACGAGTAGTTCGGTTAGGTCCTGCTTGATGTGATCCTGAAGTTCGCCTACAAAAGAAAGTTAGAAAAGGCTGGACACCAGTTTTGAACAAAAATAAACATCGGCAAGAAACCACATAATAGTATGTCATAAGCTTGGAACCACGTGGTTGCGTAAAATACTACTTTGAAGACGCTTTAAAAGGACAAATACACAACAGCCGTAAATCGTTACAACGATGAATATATGTAATACATAACACCCATGAATGAATAATAAACGAAATAAATTAAATATAAAAAAATCTAACATTTTAAAACTACATGGTTGTAAAGTAGTGTCAGAATTTTAATCTAATTGTTTTACCAAACATACTAATTTAAACTGGTCCTTGTTTTAATTTATGCAAATTATGTCGAGAGCTTGCGGAAACATTGTGACCATAGGAATGGAGACAATCCAATTTGTAAACGAGTGATTGATAATTTTTTAATTTTCGTGTAAGACATTTTTTGGGAACATTGGCTAAACTCTACATCTACTACACTAAATTTAGGTGCAATAACTTTGTATTCTACTCACTCGTGAAATGTTTATGAAAGTAATACATCAGATGAGGTTATACTAAACAGGTGCCTTTTGACAATTCTGGAAATAAACTTGAGAAATTTTTATTCGCTTATAATGAATTAAAAAACAGGTAGAATGAATAAATAATTTGTAGTGAAATGAGAAATTAGTTTTCCGGAATTTATGACAGGATCGAAAGGTTTTTTTCAGTAAACTTCAGACCGGAAGACTAGAACTCATATTTTTGCCGTCGAAAAGTCTTTAGTCAAGAACCGCAATTTACACAGACGAACAAGATGTTTGCGAATGAATTTGGAAACTCAGATATAACCACTTTGTAGTTGTACACTTCATTAGACAAATGATTCTAAGTGGTTGCTGAACACATAAAAGGTGGGATAGGATTTGATACCGCAACACTAGGTTGAATATATAGGCTATTTTGCCATACAGTAATTCTCAATCAGTCATAAGTGATGTAGAACCTGACACATGTATCGATTGAAGCTACCACACTACATCACTATAGAGAGATAAAATAATCAAAATAAATACTAAAGTGGTAGTAATAACGATAACAAGAAAAACTAGGCATCGAGAACATGATTCAAGAAGAATGAATGAATTCGTAGGATGAATCCTATGATATAGCTTCAAAACCCAGGATCCAGGGAAAGACATATCACCCAACGTCTTGAACTATCAATCACAATAATCACATGCATTCCAACCAAATAGTATGTACCTATCCACATCGCTGAATTCGACAGTTATGGACTTCATAGACTGATGCTACGTTTTGATTTGGAGGCCCCAAGCTCTCTTCTAACTCGCTTTTTCAGCCAACATAAGTCCCAGAGGTGGGTGGGTGTGAACAAGAAATGTTTTAAACAACTAAATCGATGAAGATCCACAATCTTGTCAACCGCTCTAGCATTATCACCTATGACCCTAAGTCTAATATAAACATTATTTACCCAGTGATTCCAGAACATACAGGGAATGTTCCGAAAGCACTTATGGCCAAACATTAGTGACCTAGACATGTTTTCTACTTGTAACGACCAGGTATTACGGACAGAAAGTAAAACAGAGTAAAATGTTGGGTATTGTTCTACCCTTCGTTGATGGACGAGTATCTTAACTACACAACACGCGACCCAAACTTTCAAAAGCCAAGGACTTCTGAATCTGTAATATATAATAGCAGACCCCACATCTGGCCTTTAGCTCCACTTGGAGTCCCTCCGGGGGCTACTGTCGGTCCCAAACCCGGATAAAGGAGGAGGGTTGGGCTTGGGGTTAGCGACCCCATCCCGTAGAAAACTAACTCGCTAAAAAAACGCTAACTAGAAAAAATTATTCAAGCTTTTTAAACTCTGCCTTGGGAGTCAGAAGGTCTTCATTAAGAAGATCTACGACGCCTCATGATGAAAGCCGATTTCCTTCGGAAGTCACGAGGTCGATGCCCCTTCTGACAACCATAGCAACCATTTATATAGGTACATGGAATACTCGTATAATGTGGGAGAGTCTTCCAAATTGCTGCGGAAATGAGGAGATACAAGCTGGAGGTGCTTGGGTTCAGTGAAACACATTGGACGCAAGTCGGACAACAACGACTAGCTTCAGGGGAGCTTCTGCTATACTCCGGCCATGATGAAGAAAATGCTCCACATACATAAGGAGTTGCATTGATGCTGTCTAAATAGGCATAAAATGCACCTAAAGATGGGAATCTCATGGACCAAGGATCATCAAAGCCTCCTTCAAAACAAACAAAGCATTACAATGAACGTCATTCAATGCTGTGCGCCTACCAAGTAAGTAAGTAAGTAAGTAAGTAAGTAAGTAAGTAAGTAAGTAAGTAAGTAAGTAAGTAAGTAAGTAAGTAAGTAAGTAAGTAAGTAAGTAAGTAAGTAAGTAAGTAAGTAAGTAAGTAAGTAAGTAAGTAAGTAAGTAAGTAAGTAAGTAAGTAAGTAAGTAATTAAGTAAGTAAGTAAGTAAGTAAGTAAGTAAGTAAGTAAGTAAGTAAGTAAGTAAGTAAGTAAGTAAGTAAGTAAGTAAGTAAGTAAGTAAGTAAGTAAGTAAGTAAGTAAGTAAGTAAGTAAGTAAGTAAGTAAGTAAGTAAGTAAGTAAGTAAGTAAGTAAGTAAGTAAGTAAGTAAGTAAGTAAGTAAGTAAGTAAGTAAGTAAGTAAGTAAGTAAGTAAGTAAGTAAGTAAGTAAGTAAGTAAGTAAGTAAGTAAGTAAGTAAGTAAGTAAGTAAGTAAGTAAGTAAGTAAGTAAGTAAGTAAGTAAGTAAGTAAGTAAGTAAGTAAGTAAGTAAGTAAGTAAGTAAGTAAGTAAGTAAGTAAGTAAGTAAGTAAGTAAGTAAGTAAGTAAGTAAGTAAGTAAGTAAGTAAGTAAGTAAGTAAGTAAGTAAGTAAGTAAGTAAGTAAGTAAGTAAGTAAGTAAGTAAGTAAGTAAGTAAGTAAGTAAGTAAGTAAGTAAGTAAGTAAGTAAGTAAGTAAGTAAGTAAGTAAGTAAGTAAGTAAGTAAGTAAGTAAGTAAGTAAGTAAGTAAGTAAGTAAGTAAGTAAGTAAGTAAGTAAGTAAGTAAGTAAGTAAGTAAGTAAGTAAGTAAGTAAGTAAGTAAGTAAGTAAGTAAGTAAGTAAGTAAGTAAGTAAGTAAGTAAGTAAGTAAGTAAGTAAGTAAGTAAGTAAGTAAGTAAGTAAGTAAGTAAGTAAGTAAGTAAGTAAGTAAGTAAGTAAGTAAGTAAGTAAGTAAGTAAGTAAGTAAGTAAGTAAGTAAGTAAGTAAGTAAGTAAGTAAGTAAGTAAGTAAGTAAGTAAGTAAGTAAGTAAGTAAGTAAGTAACATCCGGCCTTTAAACACACTAAGAGTACTCAGATAATTCACTCCGCATTCTTATTACTCAAAATCATTAACTATAAATTTTGGTACTTTTAGATAAAGGGTATACCTTTTATATATTATCTATAAATAATTATGTGTAGAAATAAGCACAAACTTGCTCCGTATTTCTTTTGGGACTTTTGAAACTTAATATTAGCATGTCAGTTAGTCTGAAACATTTAAAATTATGAACAATTTTTAACCTCTAGAAACAACTCAACATTAACTTTAAAGTATGAACAGATATGAGGTAATTTAATGAAAATGAAACCATTGTTGGGAAGATTCAGAAAACTCAAAGAAGAGCCAAGAAAGACTCTGAAAACACTAGAAGTTTTGCCAGAAACATTTAGAAAGTGAAAAGTCACATGTCTAGTTTCTGATTGGGTGATTACTTATGCCGCCGCTACGTTTAGTAGCATTCCAGAACTTTTCGGAAACCCAAAGACATCTAAAATACTATAAAAACCCTAGGTTTTTTGTACATAAACGAACCTTTGGAGTAATGCGTTTTCTTATATATTTCGCGCCTTTTCTCTCGCGTTCAATTCACTGTGTATATCTAGCCTGGGAGTTACTAGAAGAGCTTAGGAACCAAATCTAGAGTTCAATTAGCAAGGCTTATCACATGTAGACTGAAGAAATTTAACTCCTTGTCACGAAAACAAGGGACATGAAAGTCACGATAAACTTAAAGGTATAAAATATTCTTACTCATTCGAAATAGGACTTGGAAGGTAACGGCCTGTTCGACTAATGGAGAAGTTCCTCACAGTGGTATTTATGGGAGATTTAGGACACAAAACTGACTGTTCATCGGAAGGATCCTTGTCATCGTAATGGGACTGGGAGTTTTGCAACAGACTAAAACCTCGAGAATGACCGTTGACCCCATATGAGCGGGGTGAATGTGGTAATTTGCGAGTGCACACCAACGAATGGCGAGTCGAACTTCGCAAAGGGTTGCTCAACTGATTCATTCTTTGGAACCAACGGGTAATCGGACAGCCTTTAAGAATACATGCACACTTAACAAGATATCGACAGGCTGTATAGTCAAAATCAAAAGGTAGAGTTATCTCGGATGACTTTGGAATAACCCGTGATGCAACAACGACGAGACGAAGATGAGGGACGGGTTCATTATGTTGATCATTTGAAAAGGAAATGCAGTGGCGGACCTAAAAGGAAAATAAAAAATCCGTTTTAAAGTCATTTGGGGACGAGTGATAGCATACGAAAAATGGACAGCTATTATTCGTACTATGTAGGAATTTGAAATACCTGAAATAGCAGTAGTATAGGAAGTATAAGTCAGTCATGGACAACGTGAGAACTGATACGAATCCGTACTTTTCTAAGTTGCCAATACTTACGTCAACACAGGGAAGGACAATATTACCAAAATGAAAATATGAGGGATAACTAAAATAAAATAGAAAACCAAAAGTGAGGAGTAACGAGTATGACTATACCAAGGATCTAGGTCAGAAAGTTTTTATCCACTAATGAGCCAAGGGTAAGCTGATGATGTCTTTATGAATTGATTTCATGACCTAACCATTTTACTAGTGAGTATTAAACGTTCTTGGAATACTATTGTTCTTTCCTTAGTGGTTCGTGGAAACTATCAATTGGATCTTTAGAATGAATCAGTCACTAAATTGGAGTGTGTAGGCTCGTTCTTAAATAGCGTCGAACTTTTGTTACATAACCTTGACTTTTTAGATACTCTGTGCGAAAATGACTAATTTTCGATGTTTTTATGAAAAGGAATCTTATTAGTTTCTTTAGGACATAAATTATGGACTCTATAACTGGATAATTAGAATTTTAATCAGAACTAGAGTAAAGCTCAACTTTATCAATAAAACAAATTACCTCAGAGTTAGGCGTACATGACCGACGGATAAAGCGCGCTTCATTGCCATACTTGCGAGCATCAACACAGAGAGGTAACTTCGGCAAGGATTTGTAAAACAGTACAAACGGATTGTAACTAAAAGAAAATAACTAAAAAACAGTTACTTACTGTTTACGATAGTCGTACATATCGTTGTATTCACTGAGTAACAAACAATTACCACGGTACTCAATAATCGGCGTACGAGGACAAATGTCTTCATTTGCTATTAGGCCCTGAAAAATGGATTTGAATTTGAACTCAGGTATTAGAAATACTGAAAGATTAATCTTAATTGACAAATTTTAGGTAACAGATTTACACGAAATATCTCACCCTGCGGTTAAAGTCGAAACTAACAACCTGATAACGGAACAAACGCTCGAGATTAGAGGGAATTTCTTCGTTAAAAATGCCATCTATTTCGCCACAATCTGCTCCCATGCCAGTAAACAGAGGAAACAATAAACTGAGTTTTTTACAAACACGACTTGAAAGATGTAGAGTTTGGGCTTCTTCATAAATATCTGATGGAGGAGATAGTACAGAGTCAGGTGCTGGACAAGGAGGGGTGGTATGGCACACTTCATTCATCTGGGTAAATGTATTTTGTACCTTATTATTTGGGCAATCTGTAATTAAACGATGTACAATGCTGCTATGACGAATTTGCACTTTATCGGACACAGGGATTGGATTACTTCCTTGTGTTTGACATACGTTTAATGAACCCTCCACGAAGCAGCTCTTCAAATCAGTGTTATAAGATGTCCGCATGTTTGACAAGTCATCATAGTCATCCAACACCGGAGGTGAGCTTGAAAAGCCCTCAATGCCTGCGTTTGCAGAGGATGATCCACCAGTGACTACAAGAAAAAAATCCGAAAAACCATATGATAGAGAAAACAAGTTTCGGTAATAAGCATTGAAAACAATAACTTCATACAAAATTACAAATACATATTATGGTGCTATGTCAACCACTTCATTGAAAAATTTGAGAAATTATGAGGCTGGGAATGGATATGATATCTGAATCTGATGTTGTCACCATTCAACTAAATAACACTGCAAGATCCAACCTCCACAGAAAATTTGAATATAGTCTATGGTGAGTAGTGAACCAACATTCGTAGGATGTGGCACAATTACAACATAATTTTAAGAAAATATGGGTAGAAAATAAGGTCCATCAATCAGTTATAATCAACACAGTCACAAATGTCCTCCAGCCCAAACGTCCTTACCAAATCGGCACAGGAAGATAAAAAAATAAGAAGGCAAATAGCCGAAATATAAAAATAGTTGTGTCAATGATAGTTAAAAAGATTAAATACTGGGGAACTCTTCAAAAGTATAAATCTCAAGAATAAAGTCTGAAATAATAGATAAGCTCAGGATTTGGAGGAAGAGAAAACGAAATGGCTAAAGCCATTTTTAGAGATATTTTACCTATAAAAAGCTAATTCAGTAACTAAGACAAGTTTTCGTCTACATTGTTGAGTTTTGAGAACACATGTTTACTTCCATGTTGCATACCAATAGCTTACAACTTTCAACCGCAAATCCACCTTTCATTCTCGAATCATGTTTCATTTGACGAATTTTCCCTGCTACCACTGACACTACTCCCATAGCATTACCTCTGATAACTTTTCAATGTTGATGTGATGTGGTAACCCTAACCGATGCACATATACCAGGTTTCATGTTGCTTACAATTGGTTGACTGAAAGATGAATTATCTTACTATATTCCAGTGTTTATAACATCTTAGTTTCTTTTAAAAGCAACGAAATTCTCTAAAAGATAAGCTTGTGTTGGGAAACAAATTGCTTTTAATCATAGTAGAAGCAAAATTTTTATTCTGACAAATGCACTTTTTATCAAGCACATTGAATTTTACTATATAAAGGTCTCACGGTTTCTTGTATACAAGTTATGTTTCCAGGCAAATGATAACCAACGCTTCTTAAGTCGCAATGGTAGCTCCACATAGCTATCTAGGAGATACATTACTTTTGGTACTGCTGGGTTCTTTGAGCTTGTTAGTTTAATTGCGGACTCTTCGTTGACGTCTTGGACATTACCAGGGTTTACGTAGAAGTATGACAGAAGCAAACACCGACGATGTGCAGAACGGTAATGAGAGCTCTGTAATTAAACCAACTCAGAGTACCCAAAAACATCCAAGCTGAGAACCTCCTACATTACAAGATATGCTAATCAATTTTATCACCACTCAATAAAAGTGATAAGTTGTACAAATTATTCGATAACAGGTGTCCGTTTTGTATTTAGGATTAGTTCATAAACAAGTTTTGCTTTCAGAAATGAAAACGCGAGGTTTACCACCTATTTAAGTTACTACACTGTTTAGCAACACAGAAAAACCAATAAAGATGAAAATTCACAATAAACTAAAAAGCGGTACATGCACTGTCAAGGGAAAAAAATATGTAGTGTTCAAAAGGTCATCAGAGGAATTTTGGATAATTCGATTAGATTACGAACCTTAGCCAACCCATTCTAGGTTTTTCCAGTGACTGATAAACTCAATATTATTAACCCATTTACCAAGTACAGATCCACGTGGTTAGCCTCGAGCCACACTCTAAATGTGAGGGTTATTTGTATTACTTGGTTTTCAAACTGAAGTAGTTGAATTTCGAACCTGAGACCTAGTGACCGAAAGTCAAACACCTAACTTATAACTCAGCATCCCACTACCCGATTGCTCTACGGAGGCGAGCTTTATACCTAGCGACTCAGTCGTTTGCCTTTTTACTGCAATATCATATGAACAACAAAGCGCTCCTACTTTTAAAGATCTCGTGGCAATCCAAAGTTTCTCGACAGCAGTCTTCAAAAGTATTTTCGTGAAGTTGGGACTCAAATCTAATACAAAGGTATTTATTCAAGGAGCTCATGGAGCAGCAAAGGAGGACAGATGTATCCATGAAATTTCATCATTCTGCTAACCAAAAGAACACTAAGGGATATTACGCCTTGTAAATTGATTGCACGGTTGAATTTTGGAAAATACTGAGAATTAGACATTAGAATCATATGAACGCCTACTTTACTGACATTATCGTTAAACTAATAAACAGTACAAATAGAGTATATTCTTACGTGTTAACAGATCTTGTTTTCTTTTAGAGCTTCTTACAGATCGTCCACATGGACCATAGTTTGGAGGGCGGGCTACAGCAGAGCCATTTTCTGAAATCACACTAGAAACTAGACTGAACTCACCACACTGAACACCAGACATCCCTTGGCTTGCTGGGATGCAAACGTGAACTTGTCGATGAGTCACACCTCCGAGCGTATTTGTTAAGAAAACACGTCCTGAAGATGTATTTGTCCCTATAGGAGCACGAGAAATCCGGATGTTAGGAGTTGTGGTTGATCCAACACTGTTAAATGCAGTCAAATGAGGTCGCTGAGTAGCAACAGCTTTTGACTGTGTCTGGCATATTTCGCAAACATATGGTGTTGACAAGTGGTTTTTACCAGCAGATGAAATACATTCACTGTGATGCCAAATTCTGAAAAAGTGGTTAGATTTTAATATTTATGCTGAAAATATTTTACCTGCACTGATTACACTGAACGAGGTAACCATCCAAATTCGTGTTTCCACAAACGCAACGAACAGAATCCATACTATCAGTAGAAACTTGACGTGAAGCAGTTGTAGAAATTTGAAGACCAGGCAAACCAGTCCGTAAGATAACATGTGGTGTGAGGGATGAACTAACTCGATGAATCTGTAGGGGAGGATTTACATTCCCACCGGTAGTTGAGATCAAGATTGTTCGACTAGGCAAGGAAGAAACGTGACTTGTCGTTGTGACCAGGGATTGTCCGTTACTGGGAGAATTTAATTCTGAGTTACACACGACAGAACGTTTAGTTGATGAGCACGACGCGTTTAGTTCAACCAAACCCACAGACTTAGTTGTTGAGACCGTGGAACTTTCTTCAAGAATCCAGTTGGTTCGCAGTGTAGACTGGAGTGTCCTGGACGTCTTTTCTCCTGAATCCTGTGGATTCTCATCCTTTGCTAATGCTAACTTTGCTAAAAGAGACAAACGATCATCAGGTTCAACAGATCTATTATGATCTGGATTTGGTTCGTAGGATGCATAATTGTGATCCTGAAACGAAGTTAGGTGAACAGCAGAAACTCACGTTATAAGGAAGTCCCCAACAGCCTTCCGACTCACCGTAAGTTACAGCATGAAAAGGATATTCGTCAGGGTCAGATTCACTACTAAAACTCGATATGAAGAAATAAACCTTACTCCTGATATGAGAAACAAACTCGTTTGTTCAATCTCTGCGTGTCGCACACAGATATCTCAGAACCGTCGTGACCTATTGTCACTGTTTGACCGATATCGGGGGCTTTGCTCGAGTAGTCGGTGGTTTCTACTGGAGAGTCTGGAGTATCTTCAATTATTGCATCCGACTCGGAAGAATCGTTGAGCGAGCTACTCGGTCGACTTATAGAAAAATAGTTTAAGCTGTTGATTTGACGATGAGGATGGATAAGAGCATCCATCAGATTTACATGTGACACTAAACCTGAAACAATAGAAATTTTTCGCATACATAATGATGCAGCAGATCATGTTTGTATACACAAGTTACATTAGTACTAATAAACAACCATGATATTTTGAATAAATCCCCCTGGGTTATCAAGGATTACCATTATCTCAACGTAGGAAATACAGGTCAGACGACCGAAACTAATACAAATAGAAACATGTGTTGTTTTAACTAGAAAGTATATCACAACTAAATGGGGCAATCCAAACAAGATTTACACTCATCGCAGTGATCATAATAGAATACTGATAAACCTAACGTTAAAAGACAACAAATCTAATTCAAGACTTCTTCTGAATTTTGGATTCATCAAGAAAGTTATCTGTACTGATCATAACTAATCAACTTCAATAAGATAACGACGAACGCTTATATCTTCATTACATCACAAAGTAATCAAATCAGGCTACTTAGCTTGTGAAAACAAAAATAATTACAATGGATTCATTTATAGAGAGAAGAATGACTCACCTATCATTCCTTATCATCCAAAGCCATCCATAACGCCATCCCAAACAAAGGGACCCATATGATCAATTCTGTTGCCAAGTCTGCTTTAGCAACGATTCAAACAACGTATATAAAATTTTGAATGTTTCAAATTGCAATACAGCAGGCCTGTGAGGATTTCAGCTTTAAGATATGGTGAACGAAACAGCCACACTTCTAATTGATGGCTAGGATGTATGCGATACTTGCCTCATGGAAAAACAATTAAACTTTTATGATATGGTGTGGCCAGTAAAACTAATGAGGTCACCATTAATGTCAAAGACTTACAGGACTATTTATTTTGTGTAGCATTTTTTAAAATGAAAGGCATGAGCAAAGATTAATAGGGTCCGAAAAGAGAGATGACAACAGTTTCAGAAATGTCATTTACAGTCACAGGTATTGGATTATGCTCTTGAACCAAATCAATTTTCGAGAAAACATTTGTGTCTTTCAGGGTTGTTGTCAGATCGTGGATGTGTGGAAGGGGGTAATGATCGATAGTGATTTTCACATTAAGTCTCCAATAATTACAAATCGGACGCCAGTCATCTCTGTCCGTTTTGGAGACCATGTGAAAAGGTGATGTGTATGAGCTTTTCGGGGGCCGGATAATTCCCAAGTCTATTATATCCTCTAATTCGCTCTAGGCTAAACTTAGCTCTCTAGCAGCTGGTCAGAGTGTTTCCAACAATACAGGTGAGCCTGTGGTTCCCTGATTCTAAGCTCTTCGAAAAATAATTAAGCTGAAATCATGAGTCAGTTGAAGCTAGATCACCATGGAAAACCTGGAAGCGCTAGACAGCCGTTTCGTTCCAATGTGAGACTCCTTAGCAGTGCGCATACACGATCCGGCCTCTCACGAAATTCGAACCCAGGACCTATTAATCTCGCACACGAGCGCTTAACCATTAGACCACTGAGCCGGCATCCAACGGTGTTAATGTCTAACTTCAACCAATCCACGAAGTTGCGCCACCGTACACTATTGTCTTCAGTGAGTTGATATCTCACAACAGACCTGGTTAAAATCCACTGGTAACGGCTTCTCACTAGAACTCCAGTGCGCACCCAGTGTACAAAAGTACTTCCACTATACTCACTTGAACCGTCGTCACCTTGGGTGTTGGGTCACAGACATGACCAATAGACTGTGTTCGACCGACCCGGCTTCAAAGTGACTTTAGGGAATATAACCTCATTACTAAAACGTCCGTGTACACATCAAGCTAATCAAATGTTTATTGTGTGAGACTCCGAATAACTATTAGGAACCTATTTGATCCAAGGACGCAACACAGTATTTTCATTATTTTTCATTCCGTGTCTTGATCACTTGTGATTAGTAGACATGCCTGCAGTTATGATCCAAATCACAAAGGGTGGTCATCACAGACTCACGGTCATGCATTCAATCGAGTTAGCTCAGGAATCCAACTTTTGGCTGGCTCATGTTGACATTTTCTTTCAAGCAACGTTTTGTTTTAACGCATATACATATCCGAAATGTCTAGACATCTTGTTTTACTTACGGATTACTAAAACGTTCTAGCAGGCTTAACATGTGTGGAGTCGAACATCTATTGCTTGTAATTGCAAATTTCCTATTTGTATCTAATTATTTTATAAAAACGATGGAGCGATTCTTCATGTGTGATTTATGTACTTATTTAAAAAGTAGATTCCTCTCTGCTTCTGACTTGAGGATGGCTCAAGAGGCAAGTGAGTAATAACCTGATAGCCAAACATAGCATGAGAAAATCACACCCCATGAACACTGCGTTAGCTAGCTCGCTCGCGGCAGTTATTTGGCCATTTTTGTTTCATTCTCTTATCAGCTATTCGGTCATTAGCTCTGAATCCTATGCAGAGGACACGTACAATAATTCATGTAGGACAATTTGTAGTAAGAAGGTAAGTGCTACAGAGTTACTGATTCTCCACTAGCCAGCCAAAAACGGACTGACATACTTTGGATTAATAAATTGATCAATCCTAAATTCCTTTGAAAGTCGGTTCTAGGAAGATGTTGGGTAGTTAACAGTTGGCCAAAAACATCTTGACAATGTCAGCAAATTATGACACAATTATTTGTTTACTTCCTTATTTTCTATGTAACCTCTTGCTTTTAGCACTAAATATATTTTCTTCTTGGCCCAAATGGGTCCGTCGAAAGATCATAAACGCAACAGCCGACTGTCACGACAGGATGAGTCAGTAAGGGTAGTGGTGTGGCTTCTACGTAAAATCTTACAGATAAGTCAGCCACCTCATGGTAAGTCCACAATTTCCTCACATTCATTTAGAATATCATTCAAGAATAATCGATCATTAGAAAAATCAGCATCTGTCAAAACTGCATCAGGTTTTCGATCATGATTTGACTCACTCAACATATTTTCCTCAGATTTTTAAAAATTTCATCAGAAATATGTGGGTCGTTAAGACAAACCATATCTGGTACAATAACATGAAAAAATAAGTTGATTGAATAGAGGCTTCAGTCTAAAAATCACTCTGAGTTTCATTCAATTTGGGACTGATATTTGAGTCTATTCTGCTTTTTGAAGTCGTGGATAAAGATAGGTGATCATTAGAAACACCCAACTTAATACGATCAGAATTACACATTTTATCATTAGTTGCTGCAAAATGAACTGTATTATTAAACGCTGACTGAATGTGCCCGATATCACTACATTTAAAGCATCTGGAACTACGAAATACACATGGATTATATGAGTGAAACGTGCCACATAACAAGCATTTACCGAAATTGTGCTCATCTTCGCCACCCGTTTCACGACTTCTCGATGAATCGTTATCTGAGTCACTTTGATTACGCACTGAACTTAGACGACGTAGTAAATTAATGGAATTCCTGATGTCCTGACGAACTATTATCTGAAGTTTTTGTTCTTTACAGCATTCGAAATTTGTATACTTCGCACAGTCTAACAGTAGTTCCTTGCGTGTTGCATAAGACAGCGAAATAGGCTTTTCTGGTAAAGCTAGAATTTTTAGTAAGCTGTATGCTTCTTATCCGATGAATGTAACGGAATGAGCCACAATGGTAACATCCTCAACATCATCCTTGGTCATAGCCCAGATTCCGAACAATTCCATATAATCCTCAAATGCATCAAAATCTGAATGTATGTCAAACCGTTCCATCGCAGACTCCATCGCGATGCCAATGTGATAATTAGGAGTATTTGAATTATTGTACGAACTGAAAATCCCAGAAATAACGCAATTTAACCAGGAAGTATTAGATGAGTGAAGACGAATGTATTGTCTTTGGCATTCGAAATCAGGCATCCATTATGTACAAAGGAATCATTAGTTCATACAAACACCACAAGCACACAGTTCAAAAAGAGTGGTAGTTGCTGTCTTAGAAATATTTGCATATTTGTGATATTTTCTAAATCAATTTTAGTCATACGCTTTAGGCTGAAATTTCTAATGTGTGGTACTGAGTACATATCTGGAAAATTTGACAATCGGTGGTCTTGTAGTGATATCGGCTCCTAGCCACATGATCTTTGAAGCCAAGCACACAGTCACTGAGATTTGTATGCAACACGTAACACTTAGAGAAGGTCAAAAGTGGTGAACGCAGGAACGACTGATCGGTATGGCATGGCTCAGCCTTGCAAGGATGGCGATCCTGTATGACCTATCCCTATTCACACGAAAATATATTATTTCATCCTCGACCCAGATGCGGTCTTCTGAATTGCTGAACATCATATTGCTGATTGTCGCGATATTGTGGGTGAGAACAGAAAATGATGTGACCTCCACATAAAGTCTAATGGATCACATATTCATATAATGACAAATCTAAGGTTTGAGGATTAGGTCCACTGCTATAAGAGCAGAGAAAAATGCACTAATATCAAATTAGACAATAATTCTAGTCTTTTGATCTCCACATGATTGTGGTTCACTCCTATTTTTCTTTGGAAACGTGTGTAGACGGAATGCTCAGTGGCACCCAACTACACAATGTATTTGAAGTCGGCTTCAACGATTTTAAGTCCAATCTTAAGGCCAATTTTCCGGGAGAAACCTTAGTTTTATTTATATGAAGTGCACTGTGCACGATATTTGGAGAAATGGCGGCGTTCTTGTCTGCTGTGTAATTCCAGGTCTCCTTAATGGCCAAACGACGCCACGAGGTAAACACTTGAGAAATTCTCATCTCCCCAAAACGTTTACCCCATTTATTGTTGGATCTAAGTCTGTTACAGAGAACATTGCGGAATTATCTCTTTAACCTCAAGCCTGGTATCAAAGCCTATTTGCCAGACGCAGGAATTGTAGTTTTATTGGCAGCTTAAAATTGGCTCAAATTTTAATTTTGGTCACAAGAATTTTGCCAAGTGAGGCACTCGTGTCCGCTTTAAGATTCACACCAAATTTTTTATTGCTAGCATAAAGACAAGGGACTGTTTAGACGACTCTCCTCAGTTGTTGAGGCCTATGAACAGGTAATTCGTTCCCCACATTCTTGGGATTTCAGTTAGTTTAGTCGCATGTTTTACTGCACCATGCTGATTCGGTGACAAACCTCTAGTAGTAATGACAGAACTATCCACGCTCTCTGAACTGTCTTGACCTGCCCTTCGATCTTTCACTTTGTCATTGTTGTAAATTGCTTCGTTTTCTACCATCTGTTTGCATCTGGGCGATAGTCTCTGTGAGACTTCTGACACTTGTGACCAGTTCTAATATGACTGTGTCTCTTTGCCTGTGTTGTGTCTTAAGTAATCCGGCCTGTTTGTATATGCATAACATGTTAAGAAAGGCCAGAATTTTTCCGTGTTTTGTGTTGTATGTATCTTGGGAGAACGTCATGCATCTTTATTATAAGAATGCCCCACCCACGATGTTACCACCAACTAGGGCTGGTCCGGGTTGGCATTGCAGTCAACTTATATGTAAGATCAACCTGTATAAATACCAATAACTGATTTTCTGCACATCAGATCATTGAGCTGATGTACCAATGTTCCACAAACTGTCCGCAGCTATCTGTTCAAAGTTCACGTAACTGTCAGTATTTTTA